ACCCTGGTTTTATGTCTCATTACAACAATTTGTAACCCACAAAGGCTTTTGTCTAGCACTTTTGTCAGTAAAATTTTTGTCAGTCACAGGTGTGAAAAAAAACAGGCTCACGAGGGGCGGTTCAGTTATGCCGGAGGGAGAGCTCTGTAAGGTCTGGAGTGTAGCTCTAGCCTAAGGGTATGGCTACACTTGGAGCGTTTTTGCACTCTACGTTTCATCGATGACAGGAAACCGGTGAAAGAAAAGCGTTGGTTTGTGTACTCACTTAATTCCTCCGGCGTCAGAGCGTGTTTGCACCAGCAGCACTTCCATCGCCGATAAGAGCAGGGTTGTAGGGCAGCTACCCCACAGTGCAGCTCTCTCGCTAGGTCTTGTGGAAAGAAGGGGATGAGCAGAAGGCATTCTGGGTCCCTGCTCAATGCCCCGTGGTGCACTGCTTCCTAGCCCAGCCGCCCCATTACTTCCTTGTTTCTTTCGTGGCATTTTTAAAAAAGAAAACCCTGCTGTCTGGCTGCTTTCCCCGCCACATCTACCAGCAAAGGAAAAGGGAGTTTCAAACTTCCTGGGGCTTACAGCGGGAGGGGCGGACATCCCTTTACCTGGCGTCAGAGCAGCGGAGATGCTGGGCAGAGTGGTCACTTTTGGAACTGTGGGATATCCTCCGAAGGCCAAAAGGTGTTTACACAGGTAGAACGTATCTTCACTTTCACAACAGCGCAAAAAGAACAGCGGAAAGAGCTGTATGCCTCTTGTGAAGGTGGTTTTCTTTTTGTGGTGAAACTTCTGAGTTTCACCGCAAAAATGTCGTTAACAAGTATAGACGCTCCCATGGTTTTAGCGCAAAAAAGGGACTTTTTGCGCTTTAAATGGCAAGTGTAGACATTGCCTTACTCTTTGCCCTATGACTGCAGAGCTGTTAATTGCCCAGTTCGTTTTGAATGGTTTCTTGCAACATATGTTAACTCCTTATACTTAACAGTCTGCTCCACCTTGTATTTAGCTGTGATTACCTTTCCCAGACCCGAAGAAGAGCTCTGTATAGCTCAAAACCTTGTCTCTTCCACCAACAGAAACTGGTCCAATAAAAGATATTACCTCACCCGCCTTGTCTCTCATAAAAAAAAAATTAGACATTTAGCATTTCATTTCATTTTTCAAATAATATTTCACGCAATAGGTTTCAGATAAACAAAGATGAACATACATCAATATAGAACACAAACTCTTTCTGGGACTACAGGTGTCCCCCCACTGCAAGTTAGTGGGAGATCAGGGTGTTCACTACCATTCAGGACTCATCCCTAATTGTTGCACAATCCCATTATTACAGTTTGCAGATACTTAGCCATGTTAACAATAGAACTGGAGGTTTCCCAGGGGTATGTGCTTGCGAGATCACTCTGCCTGTATAAACAGATTTGGCATGAATCATATACTTCTTGAATTAGCTGGAATGCACATACTGTCTAAAAACACTGCCCCCGCCCCCCATGAATGTCAGCTTGAAACTGGACAAAACCCAGATTAATTATTTTTTCAATTTACCAGCTGAATCCACTGTGAATCCAAAAGCAAAGCAGGTGGCTTGCAGGAAGAGGAGCCTGGAGCAAAAAGCTGAGAAAGAGGTTTTCCATTGCTAAACCTCCTTATCATGTGCACTGAAAATCTAGATTAAAAGAGCCAAAGAGAACTGGTAACAATTGACTACACCCAAGTATAAAATATCAGCAGGTTGCATTCTAGCAGCTGCCATAAATAATGTTGCAAACCGATTTCAGTTCCAACCCCCTTGTCTTCACAAAGCATTCACCGCCTTTCAAAATGAGCCCCTTTTTCGCTTTCTGCTGCATGGTGACGCCCCAGCTACATCCCAGAAAATGCCAATTAAAGGTCTTCAGTTGTTTTTTGAGATTAAAAATATCCCAATTAGGCAAAGCTACAGCAAAACTGGCTGCAGTTTGAATGGCAAAATTAGGAAAGGTGTTTGTCCTAATTAAGGACTAGTGTCTTTGATTGATTGCGTGGCGGAGTAATGGTTTTAATTTAACAGGGACATGACTAGTTGAAAATGGCCTATTAAACACACTCAATAGACGATTTCCTTAATTTTACAGGTATGGCAATGCAATACAGGTGCACTTAACACACAGGCATAGCTCGTTATGGCCCAACCCTGTAAAACGCTGAGCAGCCACAACTCCCATTAAAGTCAATGGAAGAGGAAGGTGCTTAGTCAATGCCATACAAGTTCAAGCATCGGGGTGGCCAACCTGGGGCTCTTCAGAAGTTAATATGCGGCTCCTTGTCTAGGCCCTGACTCCGGGGCTGGAGCTGCAGGCGCCAACTTTCCAGTGTGCCGAGGGGTGCTCACTGCTCAACCCCTGGCCCTGCCTCCACTACACCCCTTCCCACCCCCTCCCCTGAGCCTGCCATGCCCTTGCTTCTCTCCGCTCCCCGCCAGAGCCTCCTGCACGCCAGGAAACAGCTGATTGGGAGGTGCGGGGAGGGAGTGGGGGGGGGGCACTGATCGGCAGGGCTGCCGGTGGGCGAGAGGCGCAGGGAGCTGATGCGGGGTTGCTGACGTGATACTGTGGCTCTTTGGCAATGTACATTGGTAAATTCTGGCTCCTTCTCAGGCTCAGGTTGGCCACCCCGATCTATGTGTGTAGCACCTGGTTTAAAGGGTTTACAAATTCTTCTGGAAAACCCATCAGAGTTTATACGCTGTGCAATGAGAATAGCAGCAGATAAGAGAGTTTTTCGAGTTCCACAGAGCCAGCAAAGTGTCAAAGCAGCGTCAATTGCCAGGCGAGTTTCTCCTTCTTTGTTCCCGCTAAAGAAACGAAGACTGTACTATTTCAAAGCAAGCTAGGGGACATGTGCACCCGGTTTCCATTGATTTTAATGGCAGCTGTGGAAAATCTCAGCCTAAATACATATAAAATATCCCGAATGGAGTAACCAAGCTGCGAGATCAAAATGCAGTGTAGTTGTAGCCGTATGGGTCCCAGGATATTAGCGAGGCAAGGTGGGTGAGGTAATACATTACTTCACCTGCCTTGTCACTCAAAACTCAGGGCATTCAAGGCTGTCTCAGCAACATTATCTCAACCATTCTCCACTTATGGGCCCAGATGGGCGGCGAGTGCAAATCACCGTAGCTCCACTGACTTCAGGGAAGCTACGCCAATTTTCCCCCGCTGAAGTTGTGACCCACTGATTTCAGCGGGGCTACACGGATTTACACCAGTGGAGGGGTGTGGCCCATTGATGGCAGTGGTGCAACACCAGTTTACATCAGCTGGGGTTCTGGCATGTGTAGTATTTTCTATTCCTTTTATTTCTTTATTTTTTGCACATCAGAGAAATAACATAATGCAGCGGCTCGCAACCTGGGATGGGTGCGGGGGGGGGGGGGATGTCATGACTCCCAGAGAGATGGTGAACACTTGTGTCAACGATTGACACCATCCTACTATTCTCATACTCCTAAAAGGGAGAGAGCTCCTGGTTCAATCTTTGCTATACGGGAGGAAGTTCTTGCACTGTGACCCCATGGAAAGCATTGAGACATAGAGCCCCTTCGTGTATTATTCGTCTCTGTTTTGAACGCATACTATAAAATACACTGTAATGCTGGGTTACCATTGCTGGAGTGGCATTACCTTCTGGAATTCCCTGACTTCTTTTCAGTTGCTTGATTTAGCACCCCGAACATTGCACCAATGTTATCTACCTGCCAGTAGGGCTGGGGGTTTTCAATCCCATACAGTTTTCCCAGCTTTTGAAACATTTTCTCTTCCCAAAGCGAAACCAAAAAGCCCAAGTCCCAACAATGTTTGTGAACTGGGGGGGGGGGGGCATTGGGGGGCAGGTTATCCGTTCAGGTCCTTTCATTTCATTTGAAAATTTTGAATCTTTTTGTTTTGATTTTTGACATTTTGTTCTTTTCTTTTGAGTAGAATTTAAGTGAAATTTGAAAGAAAAACCTCCCCCTCCAGAAAACATTTATTTTCCACACTGTCCAAAAGGGCCATTTCCACACGTTGACCCTTTTTTAAAAAAAGCCATTATTATAATTTTGACAAGTCAACAATGTTGGGGCACAAACCCTTTCGGTGATAAATTCTCCACCAGCGGTACCTGCCACGTCTACCCTTCCACCATATCCCTCGGTTTTATGGTTTTTATATATGGACACATTTTCAAAAGAGCTCAGCATTATGGGTGCTCAGTCTTTTTGGAACTCTGGCTTTTATTTAGGCCGTCCGTGGGAATGAGCGCATTTGAAAATCTAGTTCCATGGTGCCAAGCACCAGGGTAACATGTAAGTCTCATGTAAAATGACAGGAAAAAAATCTAGAACAGAACGTTTTATTCTCTCTCTCTCTGCTGCAGTGAATGGAGGAAATCCATTTTGCATATGGAACATATTGTTTATCTTATAAATAAATTTAAATCTTATAAATTTATCTTATAAAATGCTAGCTTTGTGCCTTGAATAATACAGGTGAAAACACCTTGCTTTTAAGGTAGAGACGGGAGTGCAGGGTCTAGGCTTAGAAATGGCAAAGCATAAGGGCTGAACCAGTAGTATTAGAGCAAGGCATGTCAGCAGTTTGCTCTCTGGGCCCCAAATGACTAGCACATGCCGTGAACTCTTTGACACTGCCTTTCTTGTTGCCTACGCAGAGGCCAAAAGGCGACAGTTATTTCCAAACAACAGGAATGTTGCTCAGAAATGCAACTATTCCATTGCACAGGGGCGTGTCGGTGGAGTGAGCTCACTGTACAGAACGCTGCAGGGCACACCAAGCCCAATTAATCAGGAAGATCATTCACATCAGGAAGCCAATCCCAGTTCCTCAAGCACATAAAAGAGGTCACCTCAGCCCTTGAAGAACAGAGGTTCATCCTTCTCTTCTGTGTTCTGTTCTCTTCTCCAGAAACCTCACTCCTTCCTTCCTTCCACTACTTCCATTTTACCCAGGCCAGCTATAATGTCTCGCCAATCCACTGTAAGGTGCCAGAGTGGGAAACTGGGCTTTAGTGCCTCTTCTGCCATCATCCCAAACAGCTGCCGCACCAGCTACAGCTCACATTCTGTATCCCGGGCCGGAGGTTGCGGCGCTGGTGCTGGAAGGGTTGGTGGTGATGGCAATTGCTTTGGCAGCAGAAGCCTCTACAATGTGGGTGGATCTAAAAGAATCTCCATGGCTGGCAGCAGTGGTGGCTTTCTGTGTGGCGCTCCAGGCCCAGTTGGTTTTGCTGGCGGCGCTGGCTACGGATTCGGTTTCGGTGGTGGAATAGGCAGGGGCTATGGGTTAGCTGGAGCTGGGTTTGGTGGAGGAAGAGTTGGCCTCGGGTTCCCTGTTTACCCACCCGGCGGGATCCAAGAAGTGACCATCAACCAGAGCCTTCTAACACCTCTCAACTTGGAAGTCGACCCCACCATCCAGAGGGTGCGTAAAGAGGAGAAGGAGCAAATCAAGACCCTCAACAACCAATTCGCCTCCTTCATTGACAAGGTGAGCTATAAGATTTCATAGATATCTTGTCCTGATTGTTCAGTGGGGAGGAAAAACAATTGCATTTCCTTATCGGCATTGTCTGTTCATCCACAAACAGAGCCGGGGGGCGAATCTGGCATAACCCCACTCATTTGGGGCAGATCTATCAGTCCACTGCAGCTGATATCAGCATCTGGCCTGTAGAGGCTGTTACTGACTATCATCTTGTGTTGTTAATCAATGAGCTGTCAAATGGCCAATCACTGCCCATTTAAGCTATCAGGGAACCAGACCTCCAGACTTGAATTTTCCTATTAAGTTGGAAAGGTAACATTGAAACAATGCAATTACATGTAGGTGGTTCTTTTAAAGTCAAGGTATTTTGAGGACTTACTTACCTGACGGCATCCTGTTCATCTCTTTGTTGATTACATCAGATTTGCCAGAACAAGCAGAACAGGACTATAACAAGAACCTTTACGTTTTTGTTGACCAATCAGCATGCATCTGTGGTCAAAGCAAATGTTAAACTGTCTTGTGGACCTTTCTGTACTCAGCCCAGTGAAGGGAAATAATAAATATTTTAGATTTATTTTCCACTTAAGGCATTAATTTTCCCCTGCCTTGTCCCATGTGTCATCATTTGCACCTATGCAAAATATGTGCAAAATGCAACTCATCTCTCCTGAGAATATAAGATTTTATAGCTATCTTGTCCTGATTGTTCAGTAGGCAGGAATATGGTATAAGGAACAGGGGAATCGGCTTCTAATTAGATTGCAATATGGGCAAGATCCTTGAAGTCAAATTTGCTACACCCATTTACACCAGCTGAGGATCTGGCCCTGACTATCTTCCTTGCAACTGCCAGTCTTGCTCACTAGTTCGTAAGAGCACAGTGAGAGCGGAGGGCACTCAGCATCTCTCAGCAAATGCTCAGTACCTTGCAGAATTGGACCCTAAACATGCATGGGAATTAACCTGGATTAGGGTTACCAGATGGCAACTGTGAAAAAACGGGACGGGGGTGGGGGGTAATAAGCGCCTATATAAGAAAAAGTGCCAAAAAACGGGACTGTCCCTTTAAAAATGGGACATCTGGTCATCCTAATCTGGATGATCCATATTATTGTAATACTTTTATGGAACCATTTAAGCATCTTCTGGATCCTTGTGATTTTCAGGTCCAATTCCTCGAGCAGCAAAATAGGGTGCTGGAAACCAAATGGAGCCTGCTGCAGGAACAGGAACAAAAAACCGTGAAAAACAACATTGAACCCCTCTTTGAAAATTACATTGGTAATCTCAGGAGGCAGCTGAACAACCTGATGAATGAGAGAGGAAGACTTGAAGGGGACCTGAACAACATGCAGAATGTGGTGGAGGATTTCAAGAACAAGTAAGTCCATCTCTCTAGCTGCTCCCCATCACCACAGGGTCAGGGATGCTTAAAAAAAAAAGTACATTTGCACTGTAATATCAATCCGATAAGGAAGGGACAAGACTAACAAATCACCAACTGCAAGTTCACTAGAGAGATACATCTTATAATGTGTGGATGCTATCACTTTCCCATGGTTAAATTGACAGGTAAAAATCTCTCTACAGAGTGAAGGGACAAGAGGCCCAGGTAAAAAAAGAAAAGGAGGACTTGTGGCACACTTGTGCTACAGCTCACAAAAGCTCATGCTCAAATAAATTGGTTAGTCTCTCAGGTGCCACAAGTACTCCTTTTCTTTTTGCAAATACAGACTAACATGGCTGCTCCTCTGAAACCAGGTAAAAAAGTATTTTGTGGATGACACATTAGGTGCAGAATCTACAAAGATTTATGAATGCAATTATTGGTCTGAGTAAAATAACTCACGTGAATTAGACTTCGGGAGACTGCATCCTGAAACTGTAAGGGAAGAAGCAGTGAGAAGGACTGACTGCCAGGAAGAGAGAAAGAGAACAGAAGGTTTTATCGAGAGCAGTAGTTCTCAGCCAGGGGTACATGTACTCCTGGGGGCACGCAGAGGTCTTCCAGGGGGGACATCAATTCATCTAAATATGTGCCTAGTTTCACACCAGGCTACATAAAAAGCACTAGCGAAGTCGGAACAAGCTAAAATTTCATACAGACAATGATTTGTTTATGCCACTCTATATACCATACACTGAAATGTAAGTACAATATTTATATTTCAATCGATTTGTTTTATAATTATGTAGGAAAAATGAGACAGTCATCAATTTTTCAGTACTACTGTGCTGGGACTCTTTTGTGGGTTGATGTCTGATTTTGTAAGCAAGTGTTTTTTAAGTGAGGTGAAACTTGGGGGTTCGCAAGACAAATCAGACTCCGGAAAGGGCTACAGTCGTCTGGAAAGGTTGAGAGCCACTGATCTAGAGTACTTTTCTATAGACATCAGTTTGCACGTTTTAACTGGTTTAGCATAGACATGCGGATCATTGCCTGAGTTATCCTGAAAACTAACATTCATGCTTAGCACGCACACAAAATGCTCTCGGGGAAGTGTATTCTATCAGGCTGCAATTATCTCCATCAGTTACTTGCCTACACAAACATTCCCTCTGCCCCATTCCATTAGGTATGAAGATGAAATCAACAGGCGCACAACTGCCGAGAATGACTTTGTGACACTCAAGAAGGTTAGTGGTGTTTGTATAATGCAAGCGTTATTATTGTTTGTCTTTCAGCAACACCTAGAGATCATTGTGCTAGACGCTGTACAGACACACAGAGAGAGGCAGACCTTTCCCCCAGAGAGCTTGCAATAGAGAAGACAGAAAAAGGGTGGGAGAAAGGGAGGATTATTAGCCCTATGGAACTTAGTCAGATCTGAGGGACTTGCCCACCATTACATAGGGAATCTGTGGCACACCTGGGAACTGAGCCTAGCTCTTCAAAGCATCAGCCCAATGCTTTAACCACAAAACCTCTCAGGTCAGCCATTCAGCCACAACACTATTAACAGCCATTAGAAAATCCTTTACATTTTTTCTCCTCTAGAAAATGAGTTTGGAGCCAATCATGTTGCCAGCCTGCTAATGAAAGTGCTTCGCTCATTGCAATCCATTACTGTCTTTCAGGATGTGGACAGTGCCTACATGAACAAGGTGGAGCTGGATGCCAAGGTGGACTCCCTGACTGATGAGATCAATTTCTTGAGAGCCCTGTACGAAATGGTAAGTGCTAGCAACCCGAGGTCTCTTTCAGGGGGTTCCAAATTAGTTTTCCCAGCGATGTGCAAAATTCTGAAGCTTTTTTTTTTGGCAATGACATGGTCTGTCTTGACCGTTCCTGACAGTTGTTTGAGTGACAGCCCCTTACCGTAGGCTGGAGCCTCTGCTTATGGTACACAGTGAAAAGTTCAGTTGTCTACTCATGAGGAAAAGTCTCTTTGACTCACAGTTCACCCGAATATTGGCATGAATTGCAGGAACTGGCTCAGATGCAGCAGCAGGTCTCCAACACCTCCGTCATTCTGTCTATGGACAACAACCGAGACCTGGACCTGGATGGCATCATTGCTGAAGTCAAAGCGCAGTACGAGGAGATTGCTAACAGGAGCCGAGCTGAGGCTGAATCTTGGTACCAAACTAAGGTGAGTCACCATACAACAACAGAGGGTTGAGTTCCAATTAGCTGCACATTCGGCTGTCTACCACTATTGTTGTGCTTCTTGACTTGTGTCGCTGAGCATTCAGAGGTACCAATCAGGGGTGAAGTGGCGACCGATTGTGCACACACGTAATAGCATGCAACGCCTGCCCCCAAAGAGCATGGACTTTAACGTGACTTGTGTCGCTGAGCATTCAGAGGTACCAATCAGGGGTGAAGTGGCGACCGATTGTGCACACACATAATAGCATGCAACACCTGCCCCCCAAAGAGCATGGACTTTAACGTGACTTGTGTCGCTGAGCATTCAGAGGTACCAATCGGGGGTGAAGTGGTGACTGATAGTGCTAGACACTGCACACACGTAATAGCATGCAACACCTGCCCCCCAAAAGGATGGACTTTAACGTGATTTGTGTGACCCTTTGTATATGGCAGTATGAAGAGCTGCAGGTTACTGCTGGCAGACACGGGGATGACCTCCGCAACACCAAGCATGAAATCTCAGAGCTGAACCGAGTCATCCAGAGACTGAGGAATGAAATTGACAATGTGAAAAGACAGGTAGGGCACTGCGGAAAACACAGGAGGGTATTTTGTGTGCGGGTGCTTCATTATGGCAGTACCAAGCCTTAGGCCAACCTAACTCCTAAGATGGATGCAAATGCAACCCCATTAATTTCTGCTGTACCAGGACTGAATGTGGCCCCTTTGGTCTCAAAGTAAAAATGTCACTAGGATTTGACCAGACTTTTCTGCTCATAAATAAAATGAATCAATAATATAGGGTCAGAACCTCAGTGTCAATGAAGTCGATGCACTTTACACCAGCTGGCAATCTGGACTTCAAAGGGTTAAGCTGCATGATACTATCCCTAATGTTTCCCCTGGAAATGATTGCAAACATGTTAGATTGAAACACAGAGAGCCAAATTTTCAGAGGTGTCCATCAGCCACGTTCTGCTAAAGTTAATGGAGCTAGGAAGATTTACACCAGTTGATGATCTGTCCCAAACTGTAGAAAAGCTGATGGGAAGAGATGAGATGCTCATAGATTATTCCAGCTTGATCTGCACCCAGGCTGGATCAGGCAACTGCATACTAGGAAGGCAGAACAGTTTGACGTTTCCTATGGATCGCTGTTCTTCTCTACCGTAGTGCGCCAACCTGCAAGCGGCCATTGCTGAGGCGGAGGAGCGCGGCGAACTGGCCCTCAAGGATGCCAAGGGCAAACTGGCTGAGCTGGAGGATGCCCTGCAGAAGGCCAAGGGAGATTTGGCACTTCAGCTGCGGGAGTACCAGGAGCTGATGAACGTCAAGCTGGCCCTGGATATCGAGATCGCCACCTACAGGAAGTTGCTGGAAGGAGAGGAGAGCAGGTGGGTGAAATGCAGCACATTTATGTCCGGATTTTAACAGATGCTGAGCGCCCAATTGTCCAACTGAGGTCAATGGGAACTCCAGGTGCTCAGCATTTCTGAAAACTCCCCCCTGGAGCAACTTGTCTTTATGCTGGAATCAATTTAAATGTTAACGAAAAACTTGGTCAAAAAGTTTTGAAATCTGGATGAAATATATTTGCTATTTTTTTGGGGAATATTTTATGAAATTAGTTTTCTCTTTGTCAGCCAGTGTGTAGAGAGGTTTTGATTATTTTGAAATGTCAAAAAAAAAATTAAAAAACCCTGAAGGCTGGTCAAAAGGCTTCTGTCAAAACTTTTTTTTTTAGTTGGAAAACTGGGGGTTTTGGCTAACTGAAAATTTTCCTAGAAAGTGTCTGCTTTCCACACAAAAATTCAACTACTTGAGGAAAAATTTCATGGACATTTTTCTGCTTATTTCAAGACTGTCTCTTGTCAGTGGACATCACCTGAATTCTTACTTTCCTCTCTTCTCTTCCCCAACAGGCTGTGTGGAGAAGGTGTTGGTGCAATGAATATCTGTAAGTCACTTGAATGCATATATTGTACAAACTTCCTTGCTTTAGACTCTGTAACAGTGCGGGACTCACCCAGCGGTGCCTCCTGCTGGTCCCTCAGGCAATTAGCTCTCCAGCCATTGGAGCGCCCTCTGCTGGTCGCCATCCCGCTCACCCCCGTGTCCCTCCTGGACCCTGGTGCCGTTTTACCAGGGGTGTTGCCCCCTTGCAATACGCCCACACGCTTCCTGGGTCTCCCCTCCCTGGGGAACCCCCACCCTCTATCCCCACCTTGCCTCAGCCTATGGGCTACTTCCAGTCACCATCTAGCCCCCTTTCACTGAGACCAACTGCAGTCTGTACAAGCCAGTCATCATAGGCAAGGGAGGTTTGGACCTGCTGCCTTCCTCTGCAACCCAGTACCTCTGTGGGGCCTTGAACAAAGGCATGCAGCCTGGGGAGTTGCTGGTCTGGAGCTCTGCAGCCCCTCTGGCCTTTCCCCAGCCCTGCCTCACTCTAGGTACCCTTAGGCTTCCCTGGCAGCTAGGCCCATCTCCCTCCTCAGCTAGAGGGAGACTGCCTGAGCGCCTGGTTCACAGCCCCTTTATACAGGCCAGCTGTGGCCTGGTTGAGGCGTGCCCCAGCTGTAGCTGCCTCCCCAATCAGCCAGCTTACTAGCTCTCAGCCCCAGCCCTCCCCAAGGGCTGTCTTTTGACCCTTTCAGGGCCGGAGCGGCTGACCACCCCGCTACAGTCTCCATTTGCCACTCGGTGGCCACCATTCCGTGAGATCTAAACACACAGTGCTTTCTTTTTGCAGCTGTGGTCACCTCAACTGTTGGTGGTGGGTCTGGAAACAGAAGTGGTGTCTGCATTGGAGGTGGAAGCGGTCTCGGCATTGGAGGTGGAAGAGGTGTCTGCATTGGAGGTGGAAGTGGTCTCGGCATTGGAGGTGGAAGCGGTGTCTGCATTGGAGGTGGAAGTGGTCTCGGCATTGGAGGTGGAAGTGGTGTCTGCATTGGAGATGGAAGCGGTCTTGGCATGGGAGGTGGGCTCAGTGTTGGAGGAAGCAGCTTCAGCTCTGGAAGCGGAAGAGGCATCGGCGGGTTGAGCCTTGGAGGCGGAAGTGGCTCTAGCGTGAAATTTGTCTCAACTACCTCTTCCACCAGAAGAAGCTACAAAAGCTAAAGCTCAGAATTCAAAGTCCTCACTCCGCGAATGAAATATCTCCATGGTTTCCTGATGCTGACACATTACTGACCTACGAATGGGACCACCATAATGAATAAGAGCAACGTTTTCTAACCTTCACTTTAGAAACCAAGCTTAAAAAATGTTGGCCTATATCTAAATTTTCCAAACGTTGCCTTGAATCAGTTCTTTTTTCAATCTTGCTATCTATTATCTCTCACGTAGAAACCTATCACCTCTATCCAACAAGAAGAGAAAGTACATATTTCTCCAAACAGCAGGACATGTGTGCTTTCCTCAAAAACTTTGAATTTTTGAAAGCTGAAAAGATGATGTTTTTGACAAACCCAAACATTTCTGTTAATTTTCACCCAAAAGTTTTCAGCCAAACATGCCAAAATCTCCTCCCAAAATGTGGAAAATTTGGTTTTCCTCCAAAAATGTTCAGTTTAGGGGCTACCTTTTTTCCCGTGAAATATTGAATTTTTCTGGATAAAAAGATGTCCCCATTTTCTGAACATCTCTGGTGATTACATAGCCTCGACAAGTCCTAGTGCAACTAATAAAACCACCTTCCCTTTCTCATGTATTTTTCTTTTTCTCCATACCAAGGAGTAGCTCATGGATTTGGATATTTTTTACGCCAAAGCTCAGTTGTGTAAGTTTTAGAATGGCAAGAGAACCGTTATGTTAAGCACTTTCTGAATAATGTTAGAACCAAGCACCTGATTATTATTGCTTGTCCAGATCTAATGTACATTTCAAAATGAGGTATCTGAGTCCATTACAGGACACAATGGACATGGCTCTCTCTCTCCATAGCTTGGACACCTATTTATGTTACCCAGGTTATTTCATTATTCAGTTGTACAAACAGTTCCTTGTCTAGAAATTTACAACACAATGTGCTTTAGCTCATCCAAATTGTATTGAGTTCTGTGTGCAACGGGTGTTCCCAACTTGTTCGGCATTTGCCACATTTGTATTTCACATTGCACATAATTCCCACTGTTTTATTTCCAATGGACTTTGAATTGAAAGTTATCTGGCCTTATGTTGTATATAAAATGTGTCGCACTATTGTTTGTTCTTTGGGCTCAGGAGCTCGTATTGTTGGAAACTTCTCGTCACTTTCCAGTGTTTGTCTAATAAAATGCATATGTAACTTATTCTGCTGTCCAGACCTTTAATTAATGTTTAAGGCAAGGGTGGCCAACCTGAGCCAGAATTTACCAATGTACATTGCCAAAGAGCCACAGTAATACATCAGCAGCCCCCCATCAGCTCCATCCCCCTGCTCCCAGCGCCTCCCAACCACCAGCAGCCCAGCTGATCAGTGCCCCCCACCCGTGCCTCCTGATCAGCTGGTTCGTGGCATGCATGAGGCTCTGGGATGGAGGGGAAGAGCGAGGGCATGGCAGACTCCTGGGCAGGAAGAGGTGGAGTGGGGACAGGGCCTATGGCAGCGCCAGGGGTTGAGCAGTGAGCACCCCCTGGCACATTGGAAACTTGGCGCCTGTAGCTCCAGCCCCCGAGTCGGGGCCTAGACAAGGAGCCGCATATTAACTTCTGAAGAGCCGCATGTGGCTCTGGAGCCCCAGGTTGGCCCCCCTGGTTTAAGGGAAATGGACACACATTTGTAAGGCAGTTTGCTGAGGGGCATACACATCAGGGCCAAATTTTGCTCTCCATTTACACTCTGTGAAATTCCATTGACGCCAATGTTTTGTGTATAGCAACAGAGTCGTCTCCTTTTAATTACTTTGGGAGTCCTCTAGTGGCACTCACTGTGTTCTATGGTTTTGAAGCCACCTGAAACCCGTTAACAAAGGACACCCCCCCCCCCCCCGCTGCAGTGGAGCAGCATGAATGTAACGGAGGGTGATTTCGTTCAAACCGTTGGGTGTGGAGGAAAACTAAGAATTGGACAGGAAAAAGAACTTTGAGTTCCTTTGGTGTGAAAGTGAGTTCCCAGCCCTGGAGGGCTTTGCTTGGTTTAGGTAAGATACAAATCTCTTTCAGCACTGGAGCTATATTGAGTGATCTCCAAATCCGTCCAGATGCTGGGTAAAATCTTGGCCTCATTGAAGTCAAGGGAATTTTGCTACTGACTTCTATTTGTTCAGGATTCCTCTCATTGGGTATTAAGTAGTTTGAAGCTGAAAGGCTTGATTTGCCAGGGAAGGGCGAGGTGTCAGGGTGGTAAAGATTTCTAATCTTTCTCTTCATTTCATCTTCTGCCAATGGAGCTTCCCTCCCAATTGGTTCTCACGGGTCTGAAAAAACTTAAGACCAGATTTTCAAATAACCAACTGTTTTCCTGAGGAATTTCAACTCAGCATGTCCACGCTCCAGTCCAGTTTCATGTTTTGGGTTTTTTTTTTTTTTTTTTTAGTGAATCAGATTCAAAATGTTTATTCTCTAGTGTTTTGCAACTTTGGGTGAAGAATCAGGGTGAAGAATTTGGGTGAAGAATCAGAGCTCCCTGCTCTATCTGATTTACATTCACCCCGGTGCAAAGGCCCAGCAAAAAGCCCACGAGCAATTTAAATCCCCTTCATAATAGGTCTCGTGCTCTTCCTCTGTCAACGAGAATGGTCAGACAAAGAGAATTACCATCCTGCGGGAAATTCTGGCATTTCCATATTTGTTTTCATGCCCCAACAGTCCAAATGTAGGAACTTTTCATGGAACTAAAAGTTCTGAAAACGTTTCAATTTGAAAACGTTTCCATTCAACATTTTCAATAAAAACATTTAGTTTCCGGTCAGGTCAACATTAATCTCTGTGTCCACTTGAACCATTGTGGTGCCTCATGGGAGTTGTGGTTCCAAACCACTCATGACCCCTTTCTCCTATATGGGCCTTGCTTGCTGGCCAAACTATATCTCTCATGAGGCACTACAGTCTTTCCCTGATGCTGAGCCATTTTGAAATTTGTTGACCAACCCATATTCTACCCTCTGTGAGCCTGAATCCCTCCCCTTTGTTTGAGGAGAAGAGTAAGAAGAAGAGTCTCCAACAGACGTTTCCCTCTCCCATGGGTTTTTCCACAAGGAGAGACATGATCTAGCCCTGAGACAGAAATAAGTGTCAGCCAACACAGGTTGGAAGAGCGGCTAGGGATGAATGGGAGGAACTGGCAATGGGAAACTTCCTTTATAATTTGGTGAGGACACAAAATGAAATGAGAAACCTACTCAGTGAGAAAACTGACTGGCACATGCAGTGCAAGAGAAAGGAGGCCCATGTGCTGTTAATTGACAAATTCCAAAAGCTTGACTCCCTTGGGATAATTAACTCTGCTTTTATTCATTATTTTTAAAGGATGGGAAAAGGGACCTCGTGTCAAAAATAGCTATCTTAGTAAGATAACAATAACAACACCTAGTCCTTATGCAGTGCTTTTTCATCAATACACTGCAAAGCACTATGCAAAGGAGGTCAGGATCACCATCCCTATTTTTCAGATGGGGAAACTGAGGCACAGAAAGGCAGACAGTTGCCAAAAAGTCACGCAGTGGGCCAGAAATAGAACGGAGGTCCTCTGAGTCCCTGTCCAGGGTGCTATCTACCAGGCCATGTTGCAAAGACAAGGTAGTATACTTCTGGAGCTAAATTTATATCTCCGAGTTTAAAGTACATTTTAGCCTTAGATGTTTGGAATAGAAGAGGCTGATATTTTCAATCAGCTGGAGAAACTATCTGTCTAGTGTTTTACACTGCAATATTGCAGCGTCTGTCAACATCTCAGCGGTACACCACGCTTCATTGCTTCAGTTTTCAAAATAGTATCTATCACCTTTATAGATTTTATGCTATGAGTAACACAGGGATATAAATCTAGTTGCCTCGTGCAAACAGATTTTATGGTTCACCCTATCGTGTAGATACAATAGCTGCAGGGGTTAGTAAAAATGTAATTCACTAACCTCATAGTAATTAGAAATGGAAAAGACCTATTAAAACACCAAGTTCAGCCTCTTGCAAAGGAAGAAGAGACTCCCCTGATGGAGACTGTGTGAGATGTTCATAGAATCCAAGATTTTAAAACTCAAAGGGAGCATTCTGGTCACCTAGGCGGCTCTCCTGCATAATGCAGGCCAGAGAATTTCACCCAGAAATTCGAGCATCAAGCCCATATTAAAACCCATATTAAAAACGGATATTACATCAGGGACACCCTAGCAAATCATGCTGGTCATGGGGACTGTCCTGGTTAAGGCCCTGATTCATTCAAACACTTAAATATGCACTTAAGTCCCTCAATAGGGCTTAAGCATATGCTTAAAGCTAAGTGTGTTAAGTGTTTTGCAGAATTGGGGCCTAAGAGAAGACACCATTTAAAGAGGTATATTGAATCCCCCAAATTTAAATGAAAATTACATGCTGGCCTGAATTAAAGGGCAAGAACTGAAATAACACTTTTCAGAGTAACAGCCGTGTTAGTCTGTATTCGCAAAAAGAAAAGGAGTACTTGTGGCACCTTAGAGACTAACCAATTTATTTGAGCATGAGCTTTCGTGAGCTTTCGTGAGCTCCGATGAAGTGAGCTGTAGCTCACGAAAGCTCATGCTCAAATAAATTGGTTAGTCTCTAAGGGTGCCACAAGTACTCCTTTTCTTTTTTTGAAATAACACTCTTTACTTCTCAGTTGTATTTCTTCTTTGTTTGGCACTGGAGGGCCAAACTCTGTTGCGACTTGAAGTCAAGGCCCAAACTCCAAGATTCAGCCCTTAACAAAAACGCAGGAACTCAGAATTTCCCACTTATTTAAAACCTAGTTAAATACCAGTTATTGGCTGGCAGCAGGGCTCAGTAAATTACACATTCCGCTTGGAGTCAGATGATCTAGGTTCTGTTCCCCAGCTCTGGCTGCGAGATTTTGGACAAGTTGCAAACTCTCTGTCCTTCATCGGGCCCCTCTGAAAAATAAGCATAACATCAGTGCCTCTTATCATTTCCCTTTTAAATATATTGATGCAAAATGCCAAGTACGACCAATTATTATTAACACTATCTGAACAGCTCACCATTAAGCCGAATGTATGACCATTCCCTCCTGGCATATCCACAGTCGTCATTATTTAGGATTATGAAGCTTTATGGACACCTAAACGAGCTAAATTGGTTCTCTGGGAGATTTCCCAAAAATATAGACATTCCAATGAAGTGCACCATAATTAAGAGGAGTTCATGTTACTACTAAGGAGAATTGAAGTGTGTGTGGGAAGCCACTGTCCTTGCTTCTGAAAAGGCTTAAGATGCCCTTTCACCTCAATGCACTAGGATATTTACTGGCATATTTGCCTTTATTGTACAAGGCCGTGAAAAGCTGTGCCCTAATAGTAGTTGGGGAACGGTTGTACAATATCATACCAAGAGATCTTATGAACAAAATTGTTGAGTGAAGTTCTACGGCCTGTGTTATGCAAGATGTCAGCCTAGATTATCATGGAATCATAGAATCATAGGACTGGAAGGGACCTCGAGAGGTTATCTAGTCCAGTCCCCTGCACTCAGGGCAGGACTAAATATTATCTAGACCATCCCTGACCGGCGTTTGTCTAACCTGCTCTTAAAAATCCCCAGTGATGGAGATTCCACAACCTCCCTCGGTAATTTATTCCAGTGCTTAACCACCCTGACAGGAAGTTTTTCCTAATGTCCAACCTAAACCGTCCTTGCTACAATTTAAGCCCATTGCTTCGTGTCCTATCTTCAGAGGTTAAGAAGAACAATTTTTCTCCTTCCTCTTTGTAACAACCTTTTATGTACTTGAAAACTGCTATCATATCCCCTCTCAGTCTTCTCTTCTCCAAACAAACCCAATTTTTTCAATCTTCCCTCATAGGTCATGTTTTCGAGACCTTTCATCATTTTTGTTGCTCTTCTCTGAACTTTCTCCAATTTGTCCACCTCTTTCCTGAAATGTGGTGCCCAGAACTGGACACAATACTCCAGCTGAGGCCTAATCAGCATGGAGTAGAGCGGAAGAATTACTTTTCGTACCTTGCTTACAAGACTCCTCCTAATACAGCCCAGAATGATGTTTGCTTTTTTTGCAACAGTATTACACTGTTGATTCATAGTTAGCTTGTGATCCACTACTGCAGTTGTCCCTTTGGCCCTTAAAATATCCGAAGCTACAAGCTGTTGAATTCACTGGAGTTGCTTCAGATTTATACCCAAGTGTAAACAGGGTCAGAATCTGAACATTATGAACAACTTGTCTTTCAAAACTTAAGAACACCATTCATCTGACCCTACTCAGGCATGACACACTTTGACTTCATGGTGGTAGCGATGCCTAAGGACTGGACAAGGACGGTGATCCCTGGAAGCAGAAGGGTGGCGAAGCCGGTCCGTTCTGAAGCAAAAAATGCTAATGGTGCTGTCTCAGCAGCTACAACTTTCCTACTTAATTCCCCTCAGCTTGGAAAATGAAAGGCTGTTTGTGCAAAGTTAAAAGCAAACCCTGAGGGAGCCTTTGGAAAAAAAAAATTTAATAATCTCTGTGGTGAAAAGTACAGGTTGGAAAATTCTGGTTAGCTTATGAGTTTATAGGTTGCGAGGATATTATGTTCCAGGTCAGCCCAGTGATTAGCGGGTTGGGAAAGATGGGCCACTGCCAGGCATACCAAACTGATTCATTCAGCCAAATGATCTGAGATCTTCTGTGACCAAGCCCAGCTCTTCAAACAGATAAAAAGGGGGAACACTCCAGACCCGAGCACAGAAGGATCTCTCTCCTCCTTTGCATCTCATCCCAACAGCTCCTCACGCCTTGCGATTGGAAGCCATGGCTCAGAAAACCGTCAGCATTAGGTCAGGTGGAGCCACTAGGAATTTTAGTGCCTCCTCTGCCGTTATCCCAGGTAGCCGAACCAGCTTCAGCTCCATTTCTGTTTCCCGGGGAGGTAGCGGAGGTCTGGGACGGGTCAGTGCTGGTGGTTTCGGCAGCAGGAGCTTCCATGGTCTAGGTGGAAGCAACAGAATTTCCGTTAGCGGAGGCTATCACGCTGTTAGATCTGGATATGGTTATGGATTAGGTTACGGTGGGGCTGGGTATAGGATTGGTGGAGCTGAATATGGGTTCGGTGGTGGATTCGCACCCGGAGCTGGTGGCATCCATGAAGTCACTGTCAACCAGAACCTCCTGGCGCCCCTCAACCTGGAGATCGACCCCACCATCCAGAAGGTGCGGAAGGAGGAGAAGGAGCAGATCAAGACCCTCAACAATAAATTTGCCTCCTTCATCGACAAGGTAAGGCATGATCAGCTTCATCCATGAAGCCTATCCCTGGCATGCATGCCATTGGCTAGTCAAGATGTGTTAAATGTTCTATGATTCATATTGTTCTCCATTATGAGTGACAAAATCTTCACAGTCAGTTCATATCTGGGTTTTCACTCTGCACCCTGGTCAGATCCAGGGCATTAGTTCCACCTGCTACAAGGATACAGTCCAGCCATGAAATATGGATTTCAATCCTTCATCATCCCGTCTCTCAGAGTTCTGTAACATTTGCATATGAAGTGCAAGATTCTTGACATTTTTTACTCGCACAATTAGCTGGGGAAAATACTTTTGTTCTTTAAAACGGACAAGTTAAAATAGCATTACCCTCTTTGTGAAAGCAGGCAAGGAGATTTTGTGCCATGGCTGGTCAATTTCCATTATGCATTTGCATGAGCATCTCTCTGAGCCTGTTTTCTTGCCAAAAAAAAATAGATTGTCTAACAATTTGCATAAGAGTATTGGTTGAACATGAAGTTTAAAACAAATTGTAGTGCCTCTCTTTTAAGTCCCACCTCAAATAACATCTGTTTATCACTTATTAAGCACCCAACAATGTGAATAAGATGTAAAGGAAGGTATGGTCTCAGTCCCAAGAGCTTAAAATGTAAAATGTTTACTGATGCTACAATGTTGTTGTCGCTGTGTTGGTCCCAGGATATTACCTCACCCACCTTGTCTCTCTGCTGGCACCAGAATATACACGCGTTTATCTAGACAGATGGAAGCAACTGACTATTAGCCCCCATTTTTCTGACTTGTGTGGTTGTGTATTAGATGTACATGCCCATTTAAAGCCATAATGCACGTAAGACAAAGTCCCGGACCAGGAGACCTTCACATCTAGTTCATAAGAAGTGCGGCTGAGGTGTTGTCTTTTTCCTGGTAAGTTGATGAGGCTACTTCAAATGCTTCAGTATTTTGTCTGATGGGATTTAGGTCCGGTTCCTGGAGCAGCAGAATAAGGTGCTGGAGACCAAATGGTGCCTGTTGCAGGAGCAAAAAACCACGAAAAGTAATATTGAACCCATGTTTGAGGCTTACATCAATAACTTGAGGAGGCAACTAGAAGCTCTTGGAGGTGAAAGGCTTCAGCTGGATGGAGAGCTGAAGAACATGCAGAACACAGTAGAAGATTTCAGGATCAGGTAAGCAAAACTGGAAGGAATTCTATTCTGCTACGCAATGCTCTGCTATCGTACTCAAATTCTTATGCCATACCCATCGGTGTAGTACTGAAAAACGAAGGCCAGGTCTGCACTACAAACTTACATCGGCATCAGTACGTCATTCAGGGGCGTGAAAATCCATCCCTGAGCGATGTATTTATACTGACCTAATCCCCGGTGTGGACAGCGCTATGTCAACAGGAGAGCTTCTCCCGTCCACACAGCTACCACCTCTTGCAGAGGTGGATTATCCATGCAGACGGGAGAAGCCCGACACACCTGCCCTGGAGCAGCTACACTGCTGCAGTGCTGTACATGAAGACAAGCCAAGAGGAAATAAAATGACACAATGTGCAGAACTGCGTATTCATGCACCCTGACTGTTATACCCTCAGCAGGTCAGTGGCAAAACTCTCACCGATTTCAATGGGGCAGGGTTTTTTCCCTGACTTTCAGAAGTCCCCAAAATTCCAGTTTAGGGACCCAATGCAGAAAAGCACTTAAGAACATGCTTGAAGTTAAGCTCTCTTCCTGAATCATGATGCTTTTCTGAATCAGGGACTGAGAGTGTGTTGTTATGAAGTCTGCTGGGGTCAATGCAGGAATTACTGTGTGAAATTCTATGGTTTGTGTGACTCAGAAAGTTTAACTTAATCATCACCATGATCCCTTCAAGCCTTGAAATCTATGACTCTCGGGATCTGTTTCCAGGGATGGACCGCACAGCCCCAAGGGTTCACTCTGGCCTCAAGCACACTCAGTGCTTCTGCTGAACCCAGCTGCCCTCACGCCCCCAGTATCGGCAGGCACGGGTTGTCTCTGAGGAAAGCACGTGCATAAGTGCTCTGCTGAACAGGGATGAATTGGAGCCGCTGTCCTGAAATTATCCCCCAGAATCTCTAATTGGCTAATGGGAAAAGCCTGTGGCTTGTTTCATGGTTGTACATGGAGGCGGGGAGTTGAAAGGAGCATGGGAGATGCTTGCTCTCCTTGTCAATTTTATTTTAGTGGGTTTTGGGGGGGGCGTTGTTCCGTTGACTTTTTAAACAAATTTGTCCCACAACAAGAAATACATACTCAGTTTGGCTTTTACAGAAATAGGCACACGCTGAATGAATTTTCCCTCTGTAGCAGCTAAGATACATACAAACCTATGCAGGCTGCCACTTTGTTCCATCATAACGCCCTCTAATGGCTGTTGTATTCCCGAGGCGGAGGTGTCTGAAATCTTTCCTTCCATGAAGAGTCAGGCCGGCCTGACTTGTTTTATTAGCTGCACAAAATCTCTCTTTAAATTGTAGCTCTTAATCTCCCCCTCAATGAATTAACTTATGATGGGCTGGGCAGCAGTCTGTGTTTAGTGTAAGCCTTTATACTCCCGCAAGTGCTCAGTGGTATCGCTATGTACTACCAAGCAGGAGAGTCAAATCCTGGACTCAGACTCTGGATTCTTCATGTACCAGAAACAAGCACTGGGCCAGAGTCTGCCCTCAGACCCCCTGCATTTGCGGCTCCACTGAAGTCAACAGAACGAAAGGCATCAGTGCAGAATCCAGCCCCTACTGACTAACGCAGGTGTGGCACGGATGAGCTCAACCAGGTCTCCTCCCACCCCTTCCAGCCTGAGAAAAGTTACAGGGATTACAAGACTTCTTTCATGCAGGATGGAAAATTAGAGGAGGATAAAACATGCCTTTAATGAAGGCTTGTAGGTTCTCTGATGACATCCTTCCATTGTCTGGCCCCGGGGTACCGTATTTGTAACTAGACTGGTCACATATGCCTGCCACAATACAGGCAGAAGATACACAACATCATCCTGCTGCTCCTTCTGATGTCCAAGGAGGCCTGTGCCCAGCTGGTAAATGGTCTATCAGAACAGGCTCTGTCAATTTCCTTGATAGCCACTGTAAATATATTGGCCATTAGTAGCAACAGCCCAGGGTATGCAAGGAAAACCACATGGCAAGGGCTTGGAGAGTGCAGGCAATGGCTACTAAACAGTTATACTTACACCAGCCGTAACAAGGCTCCTGTCTACCCTTCTTCCTGCCCAGGTACGAAGATGAGATCAGCAAGCGCACGGCTGCAGAGAATGAGTTTGTGGTGCTCAAGAAGGCAAGTGATCTCGATAAAAAAGGAACAGGGGACTTATTTTTTTAAAAAAGAATCGTTTGTATTTGTTTTACACTTACAAGCCTGAGAGATCAAAGGGCGCAGCTCTCCCCCCAATCCTCGCTGGAACCCTTCTTGTAGGTAGAGCTGGCGGACCGGTCTGCCTCTCCTTCTGCCATCCAGCCAGGATAATGATGGGCCTCTGGATCAGCCAGCAGCACCAGAACTTCCTCTCCTAGGGCCTGGCCCAAAGCCCAGGGGACCAGCTCCCAAGGGACACTGAGTCAGCCCCAGCTGTTAACCTCTACCCTGGCTGTTCTGCCACTTCTCAGGTTGACACTACTCTCATCTCTCCATGCATATTTAGAGCATTTACCCACTCCCATCCAGCCTGCCATGCGCTCCCCATCTCACACAGCCCCTGCCCAGCAATAGCTAGAAGTTAGCCCAGGAGCTGGGAGACCCAGCTTCAATTCCCTGCTCTGTTGCTTGGGTAAGTCCCCTAGGCCCAAATGTGCAAAAGGAGTTAGGTGTCTTAGGACCAGTTTGGGGACGACAAAACTCCCACCGAGCCCCGTAGGTGCCGAAACTCACTCTGCGCCGAAACGTTTGCTGTGAAAGTTAACAGATGTTCACTCCCGCTGGCCGCCTATCTCCCACCTAAGACCCAGAGCGATTCACAGTTCATTACCAAATAGCTGGGAAGGGAGACCTCCCTCCTAGCTTTTAGCCCACTGGTTAAGGGATGTGGGAGATCCCCAGTTCAGGTCCTCTCTCATCTGAGGGGGAGAAGTGATTTGAAGAGGGAACTGCTGCCTCTGAGGTGAGTGCCATAACCACTGAGTTACAGGATATTCTGACCTAGGACTCCCTTACTCTCTCCTGGTGAAGCTCTTGCACACTGGATTAAATAATTAGAGTCATGGGAGCAGGGCAACTGGCTCCTGGGGCATTCACCTCCCAGGTGAGTCCTCTACCCAGCAGGCTAGAGTCATCTACCTTGCAATTTATACCTGTGCTGGGGGAGAGGGGGGCAGATGGGATGTGGCGTGTACATACTCTAAGTGCCGCCAAAAGTAGGATGCAGTGTAAATACACTTTCAAAGAGTCAGCCGGGGCAGAGTCATCTGAGCACCACAATGGCTAACTCCTTTTGTGCCTTCAGGCCTTAGTGGCTCTGTGCCTCAATTTTCCAGCTGTGAAATGGGTATAGTGCTTCCCCATCTCATAGGGACACTGTGAGGATAACTCCATTCAAAGACTGCGAGGTGCTCCGTAACCTTGGTAACGGTGGCCATGTAAGTCCCTTAGGTCCTGAACAATCCAGGGGGCAATAGACAAAGGTGTGTAAGGAAGTTCAGTGCCCAGCGCCCATGGGATTTGGGTGTCTAACGCCCTCAGATTGCTTTGGAAATTCCATTCAATAGCTACAGGGAAGATCATGGGGGAAAGAGACTGTTTAGAGCCACTCTACATTTTGTCCACCGAAAGCTTTTTCATCCAAAAACCACAGAGATCAGATAGCCCATACATCTGGGTTGTTCTCCGGCAGCTTGTGTTTGGCCATGCTGGCCCTCATAGGGGAACACAGCTGTGCAGTGTTTGGCTAGACAGTCTCTGTTCCTATGTTTTCAGGATGTGGACATTGCCTACATGAACAAGGTGGAGCTGGAGGCTAAAGTGGATGCCCTAACTGACGAGATCAACTTCCTGAGAGCTCTCTATGAAGCAGTAAGGACCATTCTAATTTTCCCAAGTCTCCTGGGGCAAACCTAATGCCATTTTTCACCCCACCCACCCCAGAAGCCAACTTTACATCAGAGAGAATCAAACCACTCAGAGATACATGCTCATAGCCATGCATGGAGTTTACAGGGCTGTGGTTCCCTTTATGTTGGTGTTTTACCATGCAACGTTTCTGTGAAGAAGGCTCAAAACAGGAGAGGAGGAGAGATCCAGATCCCAAAATGTCATTTTTCTTTGATTTCCAGGAATTAGCTCATTTGCAGTCACAAATCTCAGACACGTCTGTCGTCCTTTCAATGGACAACAGCCGAAATCTGAACCTGGATGGCATCATCGCAGAGGTCAAAGCTCAGTACGAGGATATTGCTAACAGGAGCCGAACTGAGGCAGAGTCTTGGTACCAAACCAAGGTGAGTGGCACTGGAGTTCTGAGAGTTTGAACTAGGATATTCATCACTAGGTTTGGTGGAGAGAAGTTCGTCAAACCAGTTTTCTGTGGAAAAGTGTCGTTCCAACCAAAGCGAAAATTTCCGCAGAATTGTTATCGATCCAGACAACATTTTAAAAAAAGAATTGGAGGGGAAAGTTTCAACATTATCAGAACATGTTTTGCTTTTGAAATGACTTGTTGTTTCAAATTTATTTCATTTTCTTTCTTTAAAAATAATTTTAAAAGGGGTCAAAATGGAAACAAAACATTGAATTCATCGAAGCTGAACCGAAACACAATTTGCAGGGAGGGGGGAGAATTTCAGTTTATGAAAATTTTTGAAATTTTGACTCTTTGCCCCAATTCAGGACAATTTTGTTGTGGTTGTTTTTTATCTCAAAAGTTTTTGCAGGATGGAAAAGTACGCCCCAAGAACAGACCTAGAGTTTCACATGGGGTTGTACACATGAAGGCTATCCCATACTGCCTTTCATACCGTCACCGTTATACTGATATTTTCAGTATGCTAACTTGATCAGAGCTAGAGCAGGTATATCTACCTGAGCTGGAAACTACACCCCCAGTGTAGATACACCCTTAGAAATGCATTTCACCTCCTTGCCATATGGACCTTGAATTTCTTACTGAGGCAGGGGAACGGTGAAATGCGTTATAGTTTCTAAGCAAGAGCTGAATTTTAGGATATGTCTACATTTGGGTCTGGGTTGTGATTCCCAGCTCATGTAGACATACTAACCCACCTCGAACCTGTTGGTCCATATTCAGGGCAGCTAGCCCGTGCCACCGTTGCCACTGCCCATGTGATCACAACTACACTCCTATTTTTAGCACACCAGCTCAAGGAGAGCTAGCGCAAGTATGTCTATGCAAGATGGGAATCACACCCCTAGCTCTGAGCATCAATGTAGCTACCCACAAAGGAAGAGGTGGAAGAAATCGGTTCCCTTTAATAGTTTCCCGTGGCTCACTGTGATCCCCTATGTTGCCCATTTCACCCTCCTCTCCATGTCTGACTGTGTCACCTCTATCCCACCCCTCCCTTCTATCACAGTATGAGGAGCTACAGCTGACCGCTGGCAAACATGGGGTCGACCTGCACAACACCAAGATCGAGCTCTCTGAGATGAACCGCATGATTCAGAGGCTCCACTCTGAAATTGACAATGTGAAGAAGCAGGCAAGTTACATGCTGGGACGTGGGCGAAGGGGAAGGAGGGATCTCAGAATTTCAGGACTGGAAACCCCCTAGGAATTCAGGACTGCCTTAGCAGCAGCTCCATGCTACCAAAAGTATGAGAGGCAATGGCTGGAGCATGCTGTACTCCAGCAATAACGGGCAGTGTGGAGAGATGGGTTCAAATCCTGGCTCTGCCACTGGCCTGCGGATGACCTTGGGCAAGTCACGTCACCTTTCTGCTTCACTTTCCCCTTCTGTAAAACGGAGATAACTACACTGAGCTCCTGTTGTAAAGAACTTTTTGAGAACTACTGAGAAAAAGCACAATATAAGAGGTAGGGATTATTATGATGATGGTGCCAAGAGGGCTGAATAAGTTACACAGCCCTGAGGTTGTTTTAGGGGGCAGGGGCTGGAGGGGGTGTCAAGCTTAGAGATCTAGGGAGTGCAGAGGTGGCTTAAAGGCACCAAATGGAGATCTGGGCCAATCTCTATAACCCTGAGTTTCATATTGAGTCAAGAAATACATACAGACTCCCCCCGACTTACACAATCGTTCCGTTCTGGAAAGCCTTGCATAACTCGAATTTTGCATAAGTCGGAAACATATACCCGTACGTTGTGCAAAAATTTACGCAACTCGAAAATCCTATTTCTGGCTTATAGAACTTTTTCTGTAAGTGCAAATCTGTGTAAGACGGGTCTTGCGTAACCCGGGGAGTGTCTGTACACACAGTTCAGTGATACGGGCCACAAGCTTGCAACCTTTCTGCTAGCATCCTTGCCACCCCTGATTGGTCCCACTGAAATGCTCAGTCTAGTAGATTGCAAATGCACATGCGCTCCCAATGGGATTCATTCATCATACTCATTTCCTGCCTTCGCAGTGCGCCAATCTGCAGACAGCCATTGCCGATGCTGAGCAGCGCGGCGAACTAGCCCTTAAAGATGCCCAGGCAAAACTAGCTGAGCTGGAGGAAGCCCTGCAGAAGGCCAAGGCAGACATGGCGCGCCAGCTGCGGGAGTACCAGGAGCTGATGAACGTCAAGCTGGCGCTGGATATCGAGATCGCCACCTACAGGAAGCTGCTGGAAGGAGAGGAGAGCAGGTGGGTGGGCTATACATTAGAGCTGGCTGAAAAAAATACCTTAAAACAGTTCTGGACAAAAAATGGCTTCTCGGTTTAAATTGTTGCAAAAAAATAAAAATAAAAAATCAGTTTTTGTCAAAAAAACCCCCAAAGTCCAAAAATTTCAATTGCCGAAAAGGAAATATTTTCACATTCCCACTGAAAACTCCAAAAATATTCAGCCAGGGGGAGGGGTTGAGGGGAGGAAGATTGATCTGGGGGTGAAGTAAGCAAAAGCCTGAAGAGTTTCAAAGACATTTTTTAATAAAATGGGAAAAGGGTTCGTTTTAGTTGAATTTTGTGCAGGGAAAAAGAAATACACAGAAATTGGAGTTATTAAGGCCTGTGAATATGGGACACAATTCGATGCTCAGAGGATGAAATTGAATCCAGATCAGATGGCCAAAAATATTACATGTGCACCACTTAAGAGACTCAGGGTATGTCTACACAGCAATTAGGCACCTGTGGGTGGCCCATGCCAGTTGACTCAGGCTCATGGGGCTCGGGCTGTGGGACTGTTTTGTTGCTGGTTAGACATCTGGGTTCAGGCTGAAGCCCGGGCTTTAGGACCCTGCGATGTGGGAGGCAATGAAACAGCCCCGCAGCCCAAGCCCCGTGAACCCAAGTCAGCTGGCCTGGGCTGGCCACAAGTTTTTCTTTGCTATGTAGATGTACCCTTAGGTGTTACATAGGTCTTTTGCACTGGCCTTCTGCCCAGTGGTGAATTTCAGGGACAGATCTTCCACTGATGTAAACGTTGGTATCACTTCACTGACATTGACAGGGCTAGGCTAGCGTACATCAGCTGAGGTTCGGGTCCTAAAACTGTATTTCAAATTTCAAACATAGAACGTATTGATCTTCCTACAAGTTAATGGGTATTGTTTCAATTTCGCATCTGAACTTCACCAAGGAAGACTGGTCTTACTGTAGTGCTAAATGTTTTAGCCTTCTAAATTACTCAGTACCACAATCCTGGGCGGCAAATTGCTTATAACAATCATAACAACACCTTCCTTTTTTCCCCCCTCTAACAGGCTAGCTGGAGAAGGTGTTGGTGCAGTGAACATCTGTAAGTATTCTGGCTCCCAAATGCTAGATGCTCAATGAGATGACAACTCAAAGAGAGTCATTATTCCTAGGAAGAGCTAGGGTTTGCTGATACTGCAGAGCAACTGAAATACAAAGGGATAGCGATCAATTGTTCTCCATGTCCATTGAAAGTAGGACAAGAATTAACGGGCTTAATTTGCAGCAAGAGAGATTGAGGTTAGACATTAGGAAAAACTTTCTGATTATAAGGGTAGTTAAGCTCTGGAATAGCTTTCCAAGGGAGGATGTGGAATCCCCGTCATTGGAAGTTTTGAAGAACAAGTTGGACAAACCCCTGACAGGGATGGTCTGGGGTTTCTTTGGTCCTGCCTCAGCGCGGGGGGCTGGACTTGATAACCTCTCGAGGTCCCTTCCTGCCCTACATTTTTATGATGTTATTTGAGGCTGCAATAAATTATGGTAGTAGATATCAGAGGGGTAACCATGTTAGAATTCACAAAAACAAATTGTAAGGTAAATTGTAAATGCAAGGTAGCAAATTGTAAATGCAAGGTAGCAGATATGTAATGCATTCGGGGTTTTGAAGCTCTGTATGGCACAGTTGAGACAGCAGTACCCCGAATATTTCTCTTAGGTCAGATCTTGAACATGAGAACGTCTCATCATGTATTTGGGGTGCAAATCACCCTTGTGCAAAGGGGCAAGCACAAGGCATGTGAACCTCCTAAATCCCACAAAAGTGGCGCAGAGTCTCTGTGTGTCGGAGTCTGAACAATAGTGATTTCCACCCTTGGGCCTACGGAAGGCAGTGAGAATACTCGTGTGAGAAAGGGCTATTGTCAGTGGAACGGAATGCAAGGGTCTTTCCCCGAGAGCACCTTTTGTGACCAGAAAGACATCAACAAACCAACAAGAATCCAGAATTAGACCCAAGGTCTGGAGGGTAAAGATTGAAAGACCTAAATGGGTCCTATTCTGCTCTCAGTGACAGCGGGAGTAACGCCATTGAGGTTGGCAAAGTCATAAAATCAGTATAAATGGGAAGAATTGGGGCCGTACTACATAGTTTGGCCCAATAAATGATAAGGAGAAAAAGCATATGGGTCCATCTCTGAGAGACAGGTACTTGTAGACCAGGAAAGGAGAAGGGTTAAATTAAATGAGCAAAGGGGAAACTTTAAGGGAAGCCAAAATTAGGCAGCCTGATTTCAATGGGATTTAGTAACCTGCCCCCTGCAGGGGAAGAATAGAAACTCTGCATGAGTATTAGGCAACTGCATGGTGATGAAATATACTAGACAGCAGGAGGATCTCCAAGGGACCTGGTGGAAACCGTTTGAATCCCCAGGTTCAGCCATTTGAAACAAAAGGTTTGCCTTTCCTTCTGTGACTGGCAGGCTGCTGCTCCGTGCCATCTAAACCTCTGCTTTCTTCCGCTTCACAGCTGTGGTCAGCTCGGCCGGTGGAAGCAGCTATGGCGCTGGGGGTGGGCTGGGCCTGGGGGTCGGGCTGGGAAATGCGGCCGGACTCGGCTACGGCATTGGAGGAAGCAGCTTCAGCGCCAGCAGCGGGAGAGGTCTGATGGGAGGATTCGGAGCTGGAGGGGGAAGCAGCTCCAGCATGAAGATCATCTCGAAAACCACCTCGACCAAAAAGAGCATCCGCAGCTAAAGCGCCAACCAAGCCCGCAATTCACCCCAGCCTGAAGAGAAGAAATATGACACGGCCTCCTTGTGGCAGCACAGCCCAAACCATCTCCAAGGCACAGGCTTGCAGGGGAGGAAAAGCTCCCAGTAAATACCATTTAAGAGCTGCATGAATCACCTTCCCATTAGGTGAGGCATTTATTGGCTTAAGGAAGACAAGCCTTTTCTCCACCCCGCTTAACTCGCAGGCGTAGCGCATCAAACCCCAGCCAGTGCCTTAACGGCTTCATGCGAATCCTGAATGAATAATTGGCCCTGCTGGTTAACGAGTTCCGGGGTGGCAGAACTTGGCTCATCGAAATTAACAGATTTTGATCTTCTCGCTGCTCTTGCTTGGATCAGTGTAAATCCGGAGTAACACCAAATCCAGATTTACACCAGCGTAACCGAGAGCTGAAGCTGGCCCTATGCATGGCTACATGTAAATGTTTTTTCTCTAAATAAACATCAGGCTTGCCTAGTGAGTCATGTTCCCATCTTTGTGTTCCACATTAGTCAACTAACAGAGGCCTCTCTCTCCCCCTAGTGCTTGGGAGGTGCAATATCTCTCACCAGCGGGTTTGGCGAACAGGTGTGTTACATCCAATAAGAGGCGGCCTTAATATTTCTGAATTCATCTTGGTCCTACCATATCCCCTTTCTCTCTGGGGTATTTTTCTCACACTACCTGCGTCATATAATATAGTCTTCGTTGCCACTGGTTCGTCTTCTATACTAGACTACCGCTTGCTTAATAGTCAGTGGATTCGCTACTCAGACCCTCGTAACTCACGCCTATATCCAATGGGGCATTAGCACCCACATAGCCACAGGTTTCTAGATCCTGTGCAAACCTCACAATTGAACCAAGCTCCTCTCTGTCAGCCAGGAGAGCATGAACATGAAGTAGAGATAACACAAGATCTATGGCTTATATGTGCACAGTAACAAATACACAGAAACGAAAGGGTGAACATTATGCTTTGATGACCGTTACGAGCCGTATCACATGTAAAAAATGTCTGTATCTCATTGCCTGTGTTCTTCGCTTGTGTTTTTATCTGGGGGGGCCGAGGGGGGGGGAGGTTCCGAGCTTTTATGTACCACGATCCCCATTACCACAGTTCCTATTACTTTATGCTTGTGTTGAAGTATCCTGATTTCATGAAACTTCTTCAGTAAACTGCAATCAACCTATCTGTCTGCAATGTGGCCTTATGGTCTGTTATGCAATTTACTCAAAAGCCTAACTTTATAACACGTTTTATAAGACTGGCCCTATGCACAGATGGAATTATTCATTACTTCCCATATTTTCCTCCTAGTTATTGCAGTCTGAGAGACAGAGTTAAGTCGAAGGTAGCATTTAAAATATTTGGTGGGAATTTTCCCTCTCTGCATATGCTGCCTTGTCTACTTCTCAATTCAAGGCCACGCAGCTGTTTGCTTTTTTCTTTTCGATTTTTTTTTAACGTGCCATTAAATTCACATTGAGCACTTTTAGTGATGATCATCTTTGCTCCCTGGCTGTGTTCAGCTTCATGAATGTTCTGATCTGCATAAGAGTTAATTACCCAGAAGGACTCCTTCAATAGTTTGCCTTCTAGCAGAAGAGGAAGGGGTCCTGCAGGAGTCCCTAAAATCCCAGCTGCAGCAATGAAGGTCCTGATTCTGATCTCACATTAGTTTTACACCAGTCTATCTCCATTGACTTCAACAGAGTTATTCCTGAGGCAAATCGGTGTCATGTATCAGTGTCACTCCACTGACTTTCATGGAGTCACTCTTGGTTCACATACGTGTAAATGGGCTATGACTTCACTGGAGTTACTCCTGATTTACATTAGTGAGTTCAGTAGCAGGACTCGCTACCTGTACACAAATGCGAAACGTGGGTTGTGTGGTTAACACAGAGAGCAAAATCAAACGATGTACAGTGTGGTCTGGGGACTATGGTGTGACAACACAATCCCTGCCTTGATATAAATGTCTATGTAGATGGTCCCTATTTGGGTTCACTCATTTGTGAAAGAGAGGAAATGAGAGCACACAAGAAAAATGGAAGGAAGCAGGAGCAATGTGGGGAAATGACAAATAAGAAAGAAATAGGGATGAAGCGAGAGAAAACAGTTGCAGAACCCCCAGCGCTCCCTGCCGCCCAGCCCCTGACTGGGGAAAAAGGGGGGGAATGAAAATATTGGGGGCCCATTTTAAACACTGTATAAGTGAGACAAAAGAAGCCTGATCTCTTGTTCCTATGTCCCACATGGACTGATCTGAAAATAATTAATTAGAGCTGAGCAGAGGATGGAAATTCCATTTCAGGGAGAATTTCGAGATTTCAAAATTTGTTTTTGATTCAATTAGGAATGAAACTGGAACATTTCTAAATTTGCCACTAAAGCAAAATTGTGGGGGAAAACCCTGGATCGATCAAAAGGTTTCCGCGTTTTAATTTTATATCATAATACAGAGTGCAAAAAGTTTTAAATTTCAAAATGCGAAAGTCACTTAAAAACTAAAAAATCAAAACATGTCCCTTTGTAAATGTCAAAATGGAACATTTCAATATTGTCTCCAGAGCCCAGGATCTGGAATATTTTATCACTTTGGAGAGATTCAATCTAGTTTCCAAACTTTACCACTGAACAGAGCAAATTGGAAAACCTCCCAACATTGGGAAAACATGACTCTAGATCTGACCCCTAAATCCCAGCTCTATAGCTTGTGTTGAGAGGTAAAGTCCACATAACATTTTCCTCTTTAAGGCTCAAATCCGGAGATCTGTACTCTGTGTCAGCCTGTGCTTTATCACTGCATGGGTACACCATGTGGAACAAGGAGGCTTCCACACCACCCATCGCACAGCTTCCAGACACAGCTCCTGTACCTGAGCACAGGGACTGCTCCCTGCTAACGCCCCCATAAGGGGTAGGCAAGGGGAGAACGGAGGTGGGACCAAATTTCTGTCCCTATCCTCACTAGCCAATGGAGCTTCAGGCCAAGATGGGCAAACTCATGCTGACGGGTGGCATCCTAGCGTGCCATCATGCTGCCAAGTCTGCTAAGAACAGAGCTCACAAGTTTGTGTTGGTTCAGCAGACTTGAACAAGGCTGGTTCACACAAGCTGATTAGCCTGAGCTCTTTCCATGTCTACAGTTATAAACCTGAAAGAAAGAAAGAAAGAAAGAAAGAAAGAAAGAAAGAAAGAAAGAAAGAAAGAAAGAAAGAAAGTTAATTTCATGTCTTTAGTTTTACAGCAGATGCCAACAGACTAATACGTGTCTCAGATGTTTCTCAGTATCTTGGGTCCAAACCTGAGAGATGCTGAGCTCTCACAATTCCTGTTGGGCTAAATCACCAGAGGTGTTAATCACATGTACCTCCCATTCAACCTCAGCCAGCAAAGGTGCTGAGTAGGAAGGTGTGGAACAGTTCCCTAGTTTGTGCACGTCAGTTTCAGGAGTCAAAACTGTGACCCTGCCTGCCAATAATTGAGACCTCCTGTGAATGTCAGAAGAATCAGGCCAGGGTTGAACCAGCAGCTGCAGATACATAAAAGCCTGAGACTTCATGGCCAGATCCTCAGCAGGTGTGAATCACTGAAGTCAATGGAGATTTTTCACCTGCTGATAATCCAGCACAGTCGATACTGAAACAAAGACCCAACACAAAAAGATCTGTCCATTTTACTTGTGAAGACTTGACCAAACTTTCTTGTTCTCTCACGCTCTTAAATTCAGATCTCAGTGCAGACAAGCCATCCCAAGCACAAGGATGATTCAACATTAATGTTACAAAGGTTTGTTTAAAGAAATCCACGAGAAAGCAAATTATGGACCCAATTCTCCTCTCACACACCCCAGGTTTACCCTGGTGTATTCCCTCTGGGCCTGAATTTGCTCTCTTATACTAATGTAAACGGTGAACAGCTCCACAGATTCCAAGGGAGTTACAGCTGTATAAAACCAGCGCAAAGGAGAGGACAATCGGGCCTACTGGTGGAGTTACACCAGATTTACTCTCATCTAATTGAGATCAGAATCGGACCATATGATCAAATCACCAGAGTGTTCCCAAGCCTGTGCGGGCAACTTAATAAACAAGATACTTTTTTTCCCACAAGACAATTACTCCTTTCCTAATTCGCTGTATGCTAAGCCCATCAAAAGATGGTTTTTGCTTCTCTTTAATCCCTATTATAAAAAAAGGGAGTTTTAAGGGAGTTTACAAGCACAGTTTTTATAGAGCTGGGATTCCCTGCAATGAAACTAGACCGTCTCCTATAACTTATGATAGATGTGTTTAAGTATAGCTCAAGTTGCTGCTCAGCAAAATGTGCAGTGGGGCTAACACCCCAAGCTCATAAACCTCATCATTATCCAGCCAAGGCCCATTCTCCTAACAGATAAAAAGGTGAAAGCATCAGTTCTGATTTCAGAGGGATCCACGCTTGGCTACTTTTCACTCTGCTGCCCTGCTCAAGCATTTCTTAACTTCGCCATCTGCCTTCATTCCTCCTCTAACCAGCTACAATGTCTTGCCGATCCTATCACATTAGCTCTGGAGGCGGTGGTGTCCGGAATTTCAGTTCTTGCTCGGCTCTCATACCAAGAAGCATGAAGCAATACAGTTTCAGCACTGTCTCATCTCGGGGAGGCGGTGGCGTGGGCTATAGAGGGCTAGGATACTTTGGCAGCAGAAGTCTCAGCGGCGTAGCCTCTGGCAAACCCAGAATGGCTGTTGGTAGCTGTCATTCTGCAAGATATGGGTATGGGAATGCTGATCTTGCATATGGCTACGGCAGTGCTGGCTTTGGCTACAGAGTGGGTGGGATCGGTGGGCCTTGTCCACCCACTATCACAAATGTCCAAGTCAACCCGCTCCTGCTCCAACCTCTCAACCTGGAGATCGACCCCAATGTTCAGTCGGTGAAATACCAGGAGAAGGAGCAGATCAAGTGCCTCAACAACAAATTTGCTTCTTTCATTGACCAGGTGAGATGGGCGATCGCAATCTTCACTAGCGGTTCGCCATGGGAATGTCAGACACAACTCGCACAGACACTTCAGAGATGAAGCCTGAGATTTTCTATAGTTTTTAGAGGTTCAAAATGTCTAGGGGATTTGGAGTTCCCAAATAGCCTAAAATTACAGTGAAGGTCTGATTCTCATTCACCCTAAGGCCACTTTATGGCACTCCAGCAGTGCAAAAGGGCCTTAATGGGGGGTATAAATACACTATCATAGTGGGGTAAAGTGGTTTTAATGTAAATGAGAATCAGGCTCCAAGTTTCTAATGTTATATTCAGAGAGCTCCTTGTTTTCCTCCCACGCCAGCATAAGTGCTGATTTCAGTGGAGTTACTTCTGATTTACATGGGTGTGAGAGACTGTCTAGGATCTGCACTGTTTCAACCATAAATAGTATAAACCAGAGGAACGCTTCGCTTTCTCTGTAACTGATTGATCCTTTTCTCATGTATACCAGTATGTTTCTGAATAACCTCATTATAAAGAGATGAGCTCAGAATTTTACATTTCTGTTATCTCCATTCTTCTGAAAATACATGCATGACTTGTGTCTTTTGTTTCTAATTTTGCCGATTCTGGGGAATCCCTTCTGGCAGTAGAGATTTCATAGATTATAAAGCCAGAAGGGACCACTGTGATCATCTAGCCTGACCTCTGTACAATCCAAGCCATAGGACTTCCCTGAATTAATTCCTTGTTTGAACTATTGCTCCTATTTGTTACGAGTCTAATGCATTGATACGTTTTGAAAGCTTCAAAAGTGAACTTTCTTCCTGTTGGGATTCAGGTCCGATTCCTGGAGCAGGAGAACAAGGTGCTGGAGACCAAATGGAGCCTTTTGCGGGAACAAAAACTCTACCGGAATAACATGGAGCCCATGTTTGAAGCTTATATCAGTAACTTGAAGAGGCAGCTGGAGAACCTGGGATGTGACCGAGCTAATCTGGAGACAGAACTGAACAACATGCAGGACATTTTGGAGGATTACAAGAGAAAGTAAGTGTGAAAAGATGCAGTTTAATAATAGGTTGTTAAACAAAATGTCTCCAAACATGTACATAGCTGCATGCATTGTTGACTCACCACTATTCAAGAGGGTGGAGAAGCTTCTAATTATAGGTAGGCAGTTTCAGATATATCTTGACTAACTAAATAACTGCCCGGCTTTTCAAAGATGCTGAGTGCTCAAAAATCATAAGAACATCAGAACGGCCACACTTGGTCAAACCAATGGTCCATCTAGCCCAGTATCCTGTCTTCCAACAGTGGCTGGTACCAGATGCTTCAGAGGGAAAGAACAGACCAGGGTAATTATTGAGTGATCCATTCCATCATCCAGTGCCAGCTCCTGGCAGTCAGAGGTTTAGGGACACTCAGAGCATGGGGTTGTGTCCCTGACCATCTTGGTTAATAGCCGTTGATGGACCTATCCTCCGTCAACTTAGCTAATTCTTTTTTGAACTCTGTTATACTTTTGGCATTCACAACATCCCCTGGCAATGAGTTCCACAGGTTGACTGTGTGAGGAAGTACTTCCTTTTGTTTGTTTTTGTTTGCCTATTAATTTCACTGGGTGACCATAGGTTCTTGTGTTATGGGAAGGGGTAAATAACTCCTCCTTATTCACTTTCTCCTCACCATTCATGATTTTGTACACCTCTTCATAACCCCACTTAGTAAGCTAAAAAGTCCCAGTCCTTTTAGTCCCTCCTCATATAGAAGCTGTTCCATACCCCTAATCATTTTTGTTGCTCTTCTCCATACTTTTTCCAATTTTAATATATCTTTTTTGAGACCTGGCAACCAGAACAGAACACAGTATTCAAGGTGTGGGAATACCATGGATTTATATATTGGCATTATGATATTCTCTGTTTTATTATCTATCCCTCATCACTACTGATCTTGGCCTTGGGTGCTACCTCTAGGCAGCCAAGTTTGTAAATGTGTTATTTATTCCACAAATATACTATAGCTACAGCATAGGGTTGCCAATTTTGGTTGGACATATTCCTGGAGGTTTCATCACATGACATAATCTTTAATTAAAGATTAATCTTCAATTCCTGAAGACTCCAGGACAATCCTGGGAGGTTGGCAACCATACTACAGCTCCTGGTACAATGTAATCTTTCTCCATGGGCCTGCTGGGTGCTACTGGGATATAAGTAATAAATAATAATATACTAGGACATTATCACTTTGGGAGAGCTATACATTACACCAGTTATGGGTTTACACTATTCATTAAATAATCTGCTTGAAGAGAACTTTACAACATTTTAGTTAAGTAGAGCTCTTGGCAGATACTGTGAATGTGAATACGTACAACCAGGCTTGGAAGGATTAGATTTTTATGAGTAAACGTCAGTAAATGTCAATTTCACCATACACACACGAACAGATGAAAAAATATTCCCCTCGATTTACAGGTTGGCAAAGTAAGAGAAATGCTGCTTGAGACCTCATTAGAGGTTGATTTAATTATATTTATTTTGTGCCTTTTGATTTGTGATGGTGACAATTTCTTTCTAGTGATTATAAATCTTTACGGTTTTGAACCACAACATCTACTGTCATTAAATAATTTCTGTCTGACCCCCGCCCCATTCTCTGAGCCCCCCGCATAATTTCCTGCAACTATGAAAATGTAAATAGATAACAATAAAAAAAACTGCTTAAAACCTAGAATGGTGCACAATTGTGAATATTTAAGTCAATACAAATTTCAAAATATCCTCAAATAAATGTCAACATTCTCTGTTGAAATGACAAAAATATCAAATTCTGAAAACATATAACATAAGGCACATACAACATATGGTACATCAACTGACTGAGTGTACAGTTGTTCTGGAATTCCAAAATGCACCACAATTTTTGTTCCTTGGCAGGGGAGTGTGTGTGAGATCCATATTTTTTTCTCAGCTGAATAGTTAAACAAAAAATAATCGTCTATTCCCCATCAGGTATGAAGAGGAATGCAATCGTCGAACCTGTGCCGAGAACGAGTTTGTAGTACTTAAGAAGGTGAGCAACGCGCAGATAGGCTACAACCTTATCAAACACCTGCTGCCCAGATGTTAATAGAATGCTGATGGGATATAGTGATTTTAAACTCATCTGAAGGAAAAATAATGCAAAGTTCATACTTACATAAATAGAACAGGCTGAAATTATTTGAAATGCCAACCACTTTTTCCTGAAAAATGTAAAAAAAAAAAATCACTTTATTTTGCCATTTTAACCACTTGAAATAATAATTTGTGAAATGATGGTTAGAGGTGAAAAAATTCCAACATGCATATGTGACGTTAGAGACGAATATTTTTAAAGATATTTAGGCACTAATATTTAGGCAGTAATATTTTTAAAGATATTTGGGTATTGCTCCCATGAAACTCACCTAGATGCTTTTGAAAATCCCACTAGGCATCTATCTGTATCTCCAGGTATCTAAATACATTTGTAAATCTAGCCTTTGGTCTCACTGAAAGTCAGCAGGATTTAGATTTCTAAGTGCCTGAGTTACTTTTGAAAATGACGCATGTGCTTCTAAACCACTCAAGTGTTTTGAAAATATTATCCTGTGGTCTTTGTCCATTAGAACTTTTGAGGATGCGTGCTTCCTGGAAACTCTAATTCCTCTTATCAGAGACATTTAGGGCCAGATTTTCCAAAGTACTCAGAACTAGATTTGTATGAATAACAGAATTGTTGATTCATTGGCAATTCTGAAAACTCCAATGGGAGTTAGATGCCCTTTGAGCCTTTTAAAATCTCCCAGTAGCCACCTAGCCTTACCCTGGTTTGGTCCTTCTGGCTGTTGATACAACAGACCATTAGGCTGGTCTATGGAGATGACCTATTTATCTTCCTTTCTCCTGTATATTAATTATTTTGCATGTGAGACTATAAAGATGGAAAGAATGAAATAATATGGAAAAATTAAACTGCTTAGAAGTGACAATCCAGGTGATGAAGTTATTAACCCAATTTTGTTCTAGCATTAACAGAAATGTCTTATAATCAATTAGAAGTGCTTTCACTGTATTTCTGATTCTCTGCAGGATGTGGACTGCGCTTACATGAACAAGGCAGAACTAGACGTCAAAGTGAAATCCCTCATAGATGAGATCACCTTCCTGAGACACGTGTATGAAGAGGTAATTACATTTCCTACTCCAGTCAGGCTTTTATGAGGAGAAGAATACAATGAATGCTGGTATTTTCCAAAGGGCTTTATGGGAGTTAACCTCCCCAACTCCCGCTGGCGAAATTCATGAGGTGTTTGGTGCCAGACTCCTTTAGTCTAAGAATCAGAGAGTTTGCAGCCAGAAGGGACCACCAGGTCATCTAGTGGGACCTCCTATGCAACACAGGCCACTAAACTCTACCCAGCTTCCCCTGTATTGAGCCCAATAATCTGGATAAGGCTAAAGTATTACAGACCTGAGGAGACTAAACTACTGTGTGCCACAAGCAGGGGACAGCAGGGACCAAGATGCACCAGTGCCTGAGACCCCTTCAATGGCAGAGAATTGAAATTTGGAAATCCTTTTTAAAACCCCTACCTGAAGCGAATAATAACGCCTGGTGGCAGATGATCTGTTAGAGGAAGGAAAGAGACAAAGGCCTGGTTGGTGTAAATGGGCACATTTGAATGTGCCCATTTACCTCAGAGGAGGATCTGGCCCTGTTAGTCAGATGAATCTATATCGAGCCGAAGGGACTAGTTCCATGGCGCGATCCTCGGTAAGACCCACAGGCCCAGATCCTCAAAGGTATTTTGGTGCCTAACTCTGATTGAAATCAATGGGAATTAGGTGCCTAGCTACCTTTGAAGATCAGGGCCTTAAGGCCTGATTTTCATTTACACTCTGGTCTTTCTTACACCTTTCTTACACCACTCTGGCAGTGTAAAGGGGCCTGACAGTAATTTACCGTGGGGCGACATTTGCACTTGGTTTAAGGCCTCTTTCCACTGCTAAGCCCTTAGGGCCAGTTTTTTCTTTCACTTGCTCTGTGCTGACACCAGCTTAGCTCTACTGATTTCAGAGGGCTCCTTCTTTGTGAAAGACGAAGATGTCTGCCTCAGGCCTGGTCTATGCTTTAAAATTTGGGTTGCCATAGCTACAGTGTTCAGGGATGTGAAAATCCAGATCCCTGCCACCACAGCCTGGTGCAGAAGAAAACTTCCACCAACCTAGCTCCCATCACACCAGCCAGAGGAGTTCCTACAGTGACGCACAGACTTACATTATGGGCTTACAGGGACATAGCTACAGTGCTGTAGCACCCACCGTATAGACATGGCCTCAACCAACCTTGCTGGAAAGAGAGATTAATGGACACATTTAACTGAAAACCAGGTGCATTCAAATCAAAAATCCCTCTCCTCCATTTTGGATTAAATGTGAATCTGCAAAATATGTAGGAAGTATCTTGTTACCTGTGAACAGAGGACCAAAGCCAGGAAAGCACCTAGAAGCAAATGACTGATGAATGTAATGTCTCCTGCAGGAAATTGCTTACCTCCAAGCGTCCATTTTGGACACCTCCATTATTGTGCAAATGGACAACAGCCGAGGACTGAACATGGATGACATCATCGCTGATGTCAAAGCTCAGTACGAGGACATCGCCAACAGGAGCCGAGCTGAGGCAGAGTCCTGGTACCAGTGCAAGGTGAGAAAGAGATTATGGATGGCTCTGACACTGATCTCATCAAAGGAATAGTTCAATCCACATGAATGAGAGCGCATACAGACAGGACACTTTCCGTAATTCAAGAGATGCATGACATGACAGACAGGCTATGTCTACACTACTGTGGTAAGTCGACCTACGCTACGCAACTCCAGCTACGTGAATAACATAGTTGGAGTCGACGTACCTTAGGTCGAGTTACCGCGGGGTCCACACAGCAGGAGTTTCTCCCGTCGACTTACCTTACTCTTCTCGTCAGGGGTGGAGTACAGGGGTCGACTGGAGAGCGATCTGCTGTCGATTGGGCGGGTCTTCACTAGACCCACTAAATCGACCCCGGTGGATCGATCTCAAAACGTTGATCCTGGCTGTAGTGTAAACCTGCCCACAGTGTATGAAATCTCCCAAAACTGTGTTAGGATTTAGTCTCAGTGAAAAATTATCAAGATATAGGCTATATCCTCAGCTGTTCACACTTAACTTCACTGGAGTTACACCAGTTTATTTCTGCAGAGGATCTGGTTTTACGGAAATGTTATATCTTCCCATTCAGATTTAAGGCACTTTTTAAAACTCGGGTTCCTTCTCTTAATAATAATAATAAATAATAATAATAATAATAAAAGCAGCAAAGAGTCCTTTGGCACCTTATTGACTAACAGAGGTATTGGAGCATAAGCTTTCGTGGGTGAATACCCACTTTGTGGGATGCATGTGACGATGCATGTGACATGCATGTTAATAATACCAACTTCTTCTATAGCATATCATTTTCTTTGATATATCTCAAAGTGTTTTACAAAAGGGGTCAGTAGCATTACCCCATTTGACAGATGGGGAAATAAAGGCACAGAGAAGGAAGGGACTTGCCCAAGGTCACCCAAAGCAGTGGCAGAGCCAAAAATTGAACCCTGTTTTTCTGAGGCCCAGCCCAGTGCCTGCTCCATAGGCCAGTCTTGGCTAGACAAGAATGCTATGAAACATGTTTTCACAATCTGTGTTGCACCTTCAGCCATTACCCACATAGAGGACAATAGTCTCCTACAGCTGACCTCTTAAGGAGCTCCTCTTTCAGCTCAAGTAGTAGAGATCTGTGCTTTAGTGCTCAAGATATAGCATTCAAACTCTGCCAGAGACCCATGAGTAGCTCATCATAGTTACACTGCAGCTTTTGGTACTTTGTAACTGGTCTGTTTATTATAATTGCATCTTCTCTCTCACCTAAGTATGAGGAGCTGAAGGTAACCGCTAGCAAACACTGCGACAACCTGCACAGCACAAGGAACGAGATTATGGAGCTGAACCGGGTGATTCAGAGACTGCATGGAGAACTTGAAAATGTTAAAGCCCAGGTGAGTGTGACACACTGGCATAGTGTGTATAATGTATCAATAACAACACACAAATGCTATGTATAGGATCCAGTGCTACGTGATAACTAAAAACTGTCCCATTATAACAGCTCAGCAGTAAAAAAAAATCTTAATTAAAAATTAGGTTGCACCCCTTGACCGTTCTGAAGAACTGCTGGTGCCTAGACTAGTGACCAAGCCATGAAAGGGTAATAGTTTACTACTGCTACCAGCTAACAGAGTTACTCCTTAACTCAAGTGGTAGAGGCCTGTATTGTGAAGGTGACACACTCAGCAGAAGTCTAAAGTTAAGCAAAAAGAGTTAACAGTTTTGGATGTATAACCAACTCGAAAGAAAGAAAGAAAGAAAGAAAGAAAGAAAGAAAGAAAGAAAGAAACTAGCAGAATCAATGGTTGGGTTTTTCAAAGCCCATTCAAATTAGTGAGTTGTGTGCCTAAATCTTCTAGTCAGCTTTGAAACTCTCAACCAGTGGCCCTATCTCTGGTAAGCCGTTTATAAAGCAAAACAAGATAACTAGAATAGCTGGTCTGTCACCAGAGGCCCATGTCATGGCAGCTAGTCTGTAAGATCTAAATCTAGGGACTCAGTGCCCCAGTCTGTGTGCTGGGTACCTCAATGGGAAGGCATCCTCCATCCCTCAGATGGCAAAGTGGTCGTGAATTTACTCCAAGGAGCATACCTCAGCCTGATCAGTTTTTCAGACCGAATCCAAAATGTGAGCATTCAATTTATAACAAATGAGAGGCTATCAGAAAAAGAGTCTCTTAAAGTGAGTCACACGGAGTGCATTTATCTCCTGCCTCTGCAGCGATGCAAACTGGAAGGAGCCATAGCAGAAGCCGAGGAGCAGGGAGAGATGGCTCTCAAAGATGCCAAGTGTAAACTGGCTGACCTGGAGGCTGCACTAACAAAAGCCAAGCAGGACCTGGCTTGCCAGCTGCGGGAGTACCAGGAGCTGATGAACGTCAAGCTGGCCTTGGATATCGAGATCGCCACCTACAGGAAGCTGCTGGAAGGAGAGGAGAGCAGGTGGGTTCATAGCACAATTCTGCAAATCACTGCTCAGGGAAGAATAACGATTAATTTAAAATGCCCATCAAAACAGAGGGTCCAATCCTGCAACCCTTTCTTCAAGTTATAGTCCATGTACTTGCAAGTCAGCTCATTGCAAACAGCGGGGGAAATTATAAGAAGCACATAACTGATGTAGAAGTAAAGCTGAGTGAAATTCAGCTGAAACGTTTTTACAATGAAAAAATGCAGATGCAGGTCAATTGAAGCATTTTATGAATTCATGCTGAATTCACCCAATTATTGCTGAATTCACTGAATTATTACACTTAAAAAACCCCCATGGACCAAAAATAAAAAGTCTCATTTTGGTTCCTTTTAAACGAAAGGGTTTGATTTTTTTTTCCATCTGAAATGACTTTTCACTTCAAAATTTAGTTCACTTTCATTAAAACAAACTTTAAAAAAATTAGAACAGAACAAGACAAATGAAACTAAAGATGAATGAGACATTTTGTTCAACCTAAAAGGATTTTTCCCCCTGATATATATATATATATATATTTTGGTACTCTGAAAAATTTTGTTTCAGGTAGACCCAAAATATTTTTGTTTCTTCAGTTCGGTCATTGTCTCAGAAAATCAGTTATTTGCACAGCTCTACTTACGATATTAAATCCCTTTTGAAGTCGATAGCACTTAGGGTGACCAGATGTCCCAATTTTATAGGCACTCTCCCGATATTTGTGGGTTTTTCTTATATAGGCGCCTATTACCCATGATCCCCTGCCCTGATTTTTCACACTTGCTCTCTGGTCACCTTAATAGCACTTAGGAGCCCAATGCACCTATGCACTTTTGATAAATTTACCCAATAGGTCTACTGGAATGAGTAAGTACTGCCCATGTGCAGGATCGGGGCCTATCGGAAAAAAAATTAACAATGTTTGTGTGTATTGGACAGTCAAATCACATATTTCCAAACCACAGTCTGAGTCTGCTGCGAACATCACCTGATCTCAAGGCTTACAGCTAATTAATTATATAGGTAATGATAATAAGCAGGTAGCTAAAACATAAGAACATAAGAATGGCTAGACTGGGTCAGACCAAAGGTCCATCTAGCCCAGTATCCTGTCTTCTGACAGTGGCCAGTGTCACGTGCTTCAGAGGGAATGAACAGAACAGGTCATCATCAAGTGATCCATCCCCTGTCGCCCAATTCCCAGCTTCTGGCAAACCCTGTTTCTTACATTTTAAACCTTTCTTCATTTTCCCCTTCTAATAGGTTGTGTGGAGAAGGTGTCTGCCCTGTCAATATTTGTAAGTACCAGGAGTGTTCTCCTTCTTAGAAGTCCTATGTGATTCATCTTTTACAGCAAAAGTCATAACCTGAGCTGCAATCACTTGCTTTTTTTATTTGCAGCTGTGTGCAGATCCCAAGGGGGGGTTGTGTGTGACGGCGACCCCTGCTTCGGAGGCAACTATTCTTCCAGCAGCAGAACGCTACTCAAAACGGGAGGTGTTCTTAGCAGCGGAGGTCTATGCGACGCTAGAAGTGGAAGAAGCATCGTCACAAACTTGGGAGACGTATGTGCACCGTGCAGTCCTACCGGCGGGTACAGCACTAGCAGCGGAAGGAGTTCTAATGTCAAATGCGTATCAACTACCAGCTCCTACAGAACAAAATATTAAAGGAGAACTTTAGAAAGTCCTCCCTTCACTGCCTAGTGACAGCAATACCTGCTACCAGCACTAACGTCATTAGGGGATTTTAAAGATTACAGCCCATTCTACATTGCTTGCTACATGAAGCATCTTTAATTTCTGGAGTAGCTACTGTTACGAGGCAGCTGCCTGACCTTTAGTTTTACAAAGCTGCTCTTCTGAAATTTTCCTTTTCCTCCTGGGTTACTGAGGTCTAGCTTGTCTGGCATTATAACACCATGTGATTAGGGTATATTGTTAGGGCGCTGTATGTACTAAGGAATCGAATCATTTGTGAAGATATGTGGCTCAAAAGGAGGTCTCAGTGATAGAGGGAAATTCAGAGTCTCACTGTTCAATGCCTTTCCTCAAACGAGTATGAACCAAATACGAAAATGAAGATCTATCATTTTGCAGCTCCTACAGTGTATTCCATATTATTAGCTAACTGCACCAGTTCACCACGACACGATGATTTGCAAAGAGCAAACCACTGATGTGCAGATAGTATCTTGTTCATAATTTCCTGCCACCATGCCTGTTTTGTTCCATTTTTCTTTGTTTTATTCCATTTTTCCAATAAACTGACATAGCAGATCAACACTTGCAGTCGGGTGATTTCCAGTTTTGAAGTTTTAATTAGGCAACAAGGCACGTCTCCTTATCGAGACACTTAAAAAAAATTCAGTTCTAACGAGTGAATTGCTCCCAGAACTCACTGGCCTTTGGAAAATGTACGGGTAATCTTCTAATAGCGGTAAGAAAAGATGGAAAACCCATCAGGTGCTGAGAAGCACATTGATAGCACCTTGAGAAGTGCCAGATAAATGCAGAGAGATCCCTACAAAGATAGATAGATAGATCATGAACAATAAAATCAACCAGAGACAGCAAATGTGAAACTGGATCCAGTACACAGCAGTGAATAAAAATGATAAATACAGTTGTTCTAAGAGAGGGACTCTCAAATATTTCACCATCATCCCCCATTTTTATCCAAGCAAATGGCCTCTGGCAACCTCCATCCCATGTGCTGATCACATTCCTAGAGATCAACAACTAATGAAATACGAGAATACTTGAAATACAGGCAGTTGTAGTAATTGACTTACTGTGACATGTCCCAGTGACCTTGTTTCTGCACACACATGGCGTATCCAGTCAGACAAAGGCTGAGCCAAATTGCAGTGCAGTGGCCTGCCAGTCCCCCAAGTGTGGTGGGGGTCCCCAAAGGCGACGGGTGTTCAAGGGAGGAGGGGCGCTCAAGACAAGGGAGGGGGGCAAGAGTTCCAGGGAGAACAGGTTGAAGGGGCCTAGGGAAGTTGGCTGGGGAGAGTGGGACTCCCATCGGACTCCTGTTCCCCCAGTTCTGAAAGGGACAAGGGGAAGATGATGGGGAAATAAAATTAAGGGAACAGGCACTAAAGGGGAGGCAGGCCGGCAGGCAAAGGAGTCCCAGCGTCCCTCATTGCACCACCTCAGTCAGTCACCCCTGGAGCCCTCCATCCTGCCCCCTCGCGTCCCTGCCAGCAAGGTCTCAACGCCTGCAGCTCTGGCCGATACCTCTTCTGCTAGGAGTTCCCTACTGGCTAGGAACCAGCAGGGGGAGCACTGGAAATGCCCCAGTGCCAGATTCACAGCAATCCCCCCCCCCCGCAGTGGTGGGAAAGAGTCACTGCAGGGCACACCATAGTCTGTCCACAGGCGATCTGGCAATTACAGGCCAGTGCGCCTAACTTCAGTACCAGGCAAATTGGTTGAAACGATAGCAAAGAACAGAACTGTCAGACACCTAGATGAACACGATATGTTGGGGCAGAGTCAAGACCGCTTTTGTCAAAGCTCGAGGTGGAGGGTCCCGGTCAGTCCCGGCGAGAAAGCTGGACTCAAGGAAGACCACAAGAGGCCCAAGGCAGCGAAGAGGCGGGGAGCCTGTTGGGGCTGCCATGAACCAGGCCACATTAAGAGGCACAGCCCTCTCATGGGAAGAGAGGGGCTGCAGAAGGAGGTGCCTGGGGGCCTGGAAGGGTCAAAAATGAACAGGGTCGATGCCGCAGTGATAATGGCACATCGGCCGTCAGGCCACCACCGGGAGGGGGTGGAGGCAGCGACGGGGACGGAGGGGACCCAGCGGGAGGTCGGGACCCAGACCATCACCGGGCAGGTCTCAGACAAGGGAACTGGGACAGAGTGGGCCCAGCAAGAGGCCGGGACCCGGGTGTCATGGAGCAGGCCACAAAATGGACCCAGACCCTAAAGGTGGAGGGTCTGGGGGATGCTGACCTGCGTGCGAAGCTGGAGGCAGTGGAGCAGGCCCACCGAAAGGCGGAGACAAACCCCCGGGAAATGGCCAAAGGATGGGAGGCGGCAGAAAAGAAGCGGGCTGCCCTGGAGGTACAGCTTCGGGGAGCCCAAGGGAGAAGTCCCCCCTCCAGGGGTGGGGATTTTGAGGGGGGCTGTGTGTAGTGGGGGCAGTTACCCCGCTCCTGGGGGAAAAGGTAGGCTGATTGGGGAAGCGGCCACAACTGTGTCCACACCCAATCAGGCCACAGCTGGCCCTGATATAAGGGTTCAGGGAGGAACTGGGTCAGTCTCACTCCAGCTTTGGAGTGAGAAGGACCTGGCTGCCCGGGAGCTCAGGGTACCTGAAGCAGAGCGGTACTCAAAGTGTCACAGCTAAATACAAGGTGGAACTGATTATTCAGCATAAATAATTAACATATTCTAAGGGACTAGTCAAGGTGAAGTGGCCCATTAACACCTCCGCGATCACAGGACAAAAAAGGGGGGAAGGTGGTTAGTGGATTACAGATTGTTGTAATAAGATGTAAATGTCTGTATTAAGATCAGGTTTCAGAGTAACAGCCGTGTTAGTCTGTACTCACAAAAAGAAAAGGAGGACTTGTGGCACCTTAGAGACTAACCAATTTATTTGAGCATGAGCTTTCGTGAGCTACAGCTCAGCTGTAGCTCACGAAAGCTTATGCTCAAATAAATTGGTTAGTCTCTAAGGTGCCACAAGTCCTCCTTTTCTTTTTGTATTAAGATCATGATTTTTCGTGTCTAGCAAAATTATGAATTTAAGCTCCCAAGTTCATCTTTTGAGGATGTTGTGCAGGTTTCCTTTGAGGACAAGGACTGAAAGGTTAGCTATGGAGTGATCAGTCTGTGAAAGTGTTTGCCCATACGTGACACAGTGTTCCTCTCTCTTAACATTTTCCTGCGTGAGTTCATGCAAGAGTGTGGTGACGGTCTGTTTCATGCTGGAAAGGTCTGACCCCTAGTGGTTATAATGAATGGCTACAGTGCATGCTGAAATGAACATGGGGAATGTAGGGTAGCAGGACTGAAGGCAGGGTTGGCAGCCTCCTTAGTAAAAGCTAATCAAACTAAATAGTATTACATTATTTCCAGATGATATGTATATTATCTGTCCGGAGTCTACACGTGGCTACCAAGCTTTGAGATGCTCCTCCAGGGGCATTTGTTGCCCTGGGAGGTGTTGGGCATGACTGAAAAAGGGGGGATTGAAGAGGGTTGGGTGTGTTTGAGGAATATTGGGTGTCCTGGGGCAGGGCAGGGTGTGGGGTGTGCCTGAGGAGAGTTATGAGTCCCCCATGGAGTGTGAAGTACACCGGAGGGGGTATTGATTCCCTTAGGGAGTAGTGGCTGGCTGTGTTCAAAGGGGTGTTGAGTCTCCTGGGTGTTGGTTGGGGGGCTATTGGGGGAGAGTTGAGGGGGTGGAGTCCTCTGGGGGGTGTTGGCTGTGTCTGATAGGGTATTATGTCCCTGGGGTGGGTCTAGGGTGTCAGGTGTATGAGATGTCTAAGGGGGTGTTGTGTCCCCTGAGGAGAGCAGGTTGTGTCCCCTAGGAAGGGAGGGTACCCAAGGCGGTGTTGTGTCCCCTGGGGAGGGAGGGTTCCTGAGAGGGTGTTGTGTCCCCTAGGAAGGGAGGGTCTCTGAGGGGGGTGCTGATTTCCCTGGGGAGGGCGGTTGGCTGTGTCCCCTTGGGAATGTTCAAGACCCCTTCACGAGGCTGTATGAGCAGGAGTCTGGGCAGGGAGGGGATGGGACTGCTGGGTATGTGGGGTGGAGTCTGAGAAGCCTGTAGAAATCTAGGGAAGGAAGAGTCACCGTCTCCTCACCTCCTTCCCTGTAGCTCTGTTGCTCCTTCAAGCCAGCAAAGGGAGCAGCAAGAGGGGAAGCCGAGAGGCCTGGTCTCCACATTGGCTGCATGCAGCAGCCCACCTGGATGCTTGTAATTCCAGTGCCATTTTTGCACAACAGGTGCCCTGAATGAGGCCTATTCCTCACATAAGCACCCTCGAGTTCCCAGCTGCTATTCTGGTCTAGGTTATACCTGGCAACAAAGCGGCGAATGAGCGGGACAGCAAGAACCAGGCACCTGGCTAAAAAAATAGATGTCCTTCAGAAAGGCAGTGGTGATCCAGTGGATAGAGTGCTAGATTTGGGTCTGGACCCCTGCGATCTGTTCCCAGCTCTGCCACTGGCCTGCTGTATGATCTTGGACACTTCACTTCTCTGTGATTTTGCATCCCTTCCTTCACCTTGCCTGATTAGGCTATCAGTGCTACAGAGCAAGGCCCATAGCCTATTATGTGTTTCTACCAAGCCTACCAAAATACAATCCTGATCCGGACAGGGGCCTTTAAATCAGCGTTGCTAGTTCTAAAGATTTGATTGTGAATCTTGGAATAGTTTGTTTTTTCTTAAAGCTCCCAACTCCTAGAATCAAATGATTATATGAGAATCTTGGCTTTTCCTTAAACAAAAACAAAGCAAAAATCAAGTTTCTAGCCCACGTGGTTGCTTGGAAAGCTTGACAATGTGACCTCAGTGCACCCTACTGTTGCAAACAACCCGGCAGGGAAACAAAAAGAACCCCACGTTTATTATTATTTTTAAACTCATGATTTTTAAGCCAATCAAATGGTTTTGGGGGAGCCAGACACCTTGAACATTTTGGGTTGGCAACACCGCATAATACAAATAATAAGCTTGTGCCTGGCGATAAGTCACAAAAGGAAATATTTCTTCACACAACACACAGTCAACCCGTGGAACTCTTTGCCAGAGGAGGTTGTGAAGGCCAAGACTATAACAGGGTTCAAAAAAGAACTAGATAAGTTCATGGAGGACAGATCCATCAATGGCTATTTGCCAGGATGGGCAAGGATGGTGTACCTAGCCTCTGTTTGCCATAAGCTGGGAATGGGTGACAGGGGATGGATCACTTGATGATTCCCTGTTCTGTTCATTCACTCTGGGGCACCTGGCATTGGCCACTGTTGGAAGACAGGATACTGGGCTAGATGGCCCTTTGGTCTGACCCGGTATGACCATTCTTATGATCTTAAGTAGAGCTCAGGGAAAATTTTCAACCAAAACTTTTTTTCTGGTGAAAAACGCAGATTCAGCCACACCGGAAACGTTTTGCAAATTGCCCATTGTTTCGCATGTGATACACTTTTCTTCCAACCACGAACGGAATGGATGTTTGCTGCAATGACGGCACTTCATAAATTCAAATAGCAGCCTCACGTAGGCAATGGTTCATCTATTCTTAACTTTTCTATTGGTAAATGATACCTGCCATTTGGCCAGGTCAACCAGAACCTGGAGGCTGATTTCGCACAATGAAGCCTTATTGTAAACATCGCATGGGAGGAATCTTTCCTATGAATTCTCAGCCTCATTTAACTCTGCATTTTTCATGCTTTGTTGGTAGAGGTATAAAGAAGCAGGCCGGGTGCCACAGCGCTATAATAACATCGCCATGCCAAGCAGATTAACATCGCCATGCCAAGCATGCCCACCGTATCCAGCAATTATGAGGCTATAGAACAGTAAGGCCTTGGGGCCATGCTGTGTGTGGTAGAAGAGTCCCTGGATTATTTCCATGTGGCAGCTACAGAAACGGGACTTTGGGAAGGGTCACGTCTAAAGCTAGGTCTTTGTGCACCCTACATCTCTCTGAACCGTAATCCACCAATAAGCCACCTGAGAACAGGCCCTTGCCAGTGTCAGGAATGTATCAGCCTTGCCCTGCTCCCATGGCCTGCAAAGGGAGCAGTTTCTCATTTTCTGGGCTAGACTGGGTCTCTTATGCCACACCCCTGCCTACAGTCACACTGCCCCAGAAGAAGCACTGGGTGGCGGAGTGTATTTCAGGCATTGTCTCTCCTGGAATTGCCTCCTCCCCATGGGGAGTGAACAATCTTTAAGGATAAGTAGATTGCTCTGCAGAGTTGTCCAGCCGTGTGTGGATGGGTCTGGTCCCACCTCCTTTTTGGCCCCTTTCCAGCATCTTGCTCGCCACAGGAGGAAGCAGGAACATGCAGTGCACCCAGACACAGGAAGTTGCACGACCGCTGTTGCGTACAACAAAGTTTTTTTCCATCTCTTGCAAAAAGTTTCGACAAAAACGTTTTCTCCGTTTTTGCCAACATTTTTCTACAAAACTTATTTCAGGAGTTTGTCAAAAAAACTAAAAACACCCAGTATGCAATTTTTGTTTTGGTTTTTGGTTGGCTGGTCGGTGTGTTTTCAGCAACTGAACGCCTACAACTTTCAGCCAGGCACGCAAAAACAAGAACTCATCATCTCTCCGGATCAGGCCTATACTGAGTAGTTAACGTGCACATGGGAAAGCTGCTCTCTATTAGAGCTGGGGGAATGACCGATTTTTCAGTTCAGTGGCAATTCTGAAAAATTGGGGCAGGGGCGAAGCGTTTTGACTCAATAACAAATTTTTTCAAACCTTTTGGTGAATCAAAAAGTCGGGGAGAAACCCTGTGTGGGGTCTGTCTCAGTTGGCTGGAACCAAAATGTTTCATTTAGATTTCAAGCTTTTAAAAAAAATATCATTTACCATCTTTTATATCACTCTCAGGGCTATAGTTTAGTTTGAGAATAACCGTGCCTAGTTCTTATATAGCCGCTTTTATCTATCCATCTCAGAGTGCTTTACAAAAGAGTTGTATATCAAGATCCATAGTTTGCAGATGAAGAAACTGAGATTCGCTGAGGTGAAGTGACTTGCCAGCTGGCCAGTGTTAGAGCCAATAATAACACATGTGTCTCCTGAGTCCCAGTCTAGTGCTCCATCCACTACATCACACTGCCTCCCCTAGTCAGTGACTATGAATCCAGTGCTCTAATACTCCAGGGACAAGGATGCTATAAAGGGAGCCCAAATAGATAATAAGACATGCCATTTTTTAGAAGCTCCCAGGCTTTCCTGCCCCCAACTTCAGTATGCAGAATTCCACAGGCAAGAAAACCAACTGTGATTGCAAATGACTACAATGGGTTAACTTTATTAAAGGCATGATGCACACTCCCATATCACAAACTCAGGAAACTTCAACCGCAGCTACATTGCAGAGAAGATATGGTTGATAATGCAACACAAAATTCTTTGCAGGGATTTTTGTTTTGTCTCTCATACAGTCACAACAACAACAAATGTGAATGGGGTAATTAGTTATTTCCATGAGACATTTAAACCTAAAGACCTGTCTTGACTGGCATAGCCAGTTATTGTAATGAAATAAGAACACACCTAGCCCAGTATCCTGTCTGCAACAGTGACCAGTACCAGAGCTTCAGGGGGAGTGTACAGAACAGACGTGGACAGATCCACCTCTTTCTTTTTCCCCTCCCAGCTTCTGGCAGTCAGAGGTTTAGGATTGCCTCAAGCACGGAATTGCATCCCTGACCATCTTGGCTAAAAGCCATGGATGGACCTATCCTCCGTTAACTTCTTTAGCTCTTTGTTGAACCCAGTTACACTTTTGGCCATCACAACATCTCCTGGCAACAAGTTCCACAGGTTTCAGAGTAACAGCCGTGTTAGTCTGTATTCGCAAAAAGAAAAGGAGGACTTGTGGCACCTTAGAGACTAACCAATTTATTTGAGCATGAGCTTTCATGAGCTACAGCTCACTTCATCGGATGCATACCGTGGAAACTGCAGAAGACATTATATACACACAGAGACCATGAAACAATACCTCCTCCCACCCCACTGTCTTGCTGGTAATAGCTTATCTAAAGTGATCAAGTTGGGTCATTTCCAGCACAAATCCAGGTTTTCTCACCCTCCGCCGCCCCACACACAAACTCACTCTCCTGCTGGTAATAGCCCATCCAAAGTGACCACTCTCTTCACAATAAGAAAAGGAGGACTTGTAGCACCTTAGAGACTAACCAATTTATTTGAGCATGAGCTTTCGTGAGCTACATACATCTGATGAAGTGAGCTGTAGCTCACGAAAGCTCATGCTCAAATAAATTGGTTAGTCTCTAAGGTGCTACAAGTACTCCTTTTCTTTTTGCGAATACAGACTAACACGGCTGCTACTCTGAAACATCTCTTCACAATGTGTATGATAATCAAGGTGGGCCATTTCCTGCACAAATCCAGGTTCTCTCACTCCCTCACCCCCCTCCAAAAACCACACACACAAACTCACTCTCCTGCTGGTAATAGCTTATCCAAAGTGACCACTCTCCCTACAATGTGCAGGATAATTGTGCATTGGGTGAAAAACTATTTGCTCTTGTTTGCGTTAAACCTTCTGCCAATTCATTTCACTGGGTGATCCTGAGTTTTTGTATTATGGGAAGGGGCAAAAAACACGCCCCTACTCACTTTTCCCGCACCATTCATGATTTTATAGTCTATCATATCCCCCCTCTTAAACAAGGGCAGAGCATGATCTTCCTTAGCTCTGGCAGAGACCTCAGAATCAAGGAAACAATTCTCACTCCTCGGGCCAGTTTTTTAATACTTTCTAATGCTTTGGTGGAGGCATTGTGGTATTGTATTGGTGTCAATGAGATCAATACCAGCCCTATTACTATCTTAAGCATCTGAACCCAAAGATAGAATAAGTATAGCACTGATAGTAACCTAAAGATATCTGAGCAATTTCTAGCCGCACTCCAGCTTCTTTTATGGCAATCAGGGACAGTCAAGCAGGTCTCTGTTCTTCATTACAATTCCCAACCCATAAGCTTTTTATTCATTCTTTCTTACACTGCAGCCACAAAGCCCTCTGGGCCAAATGACATCACCCATGTTGTAGCAAAACCACAAAAGAACTGGGAAGACAAGGCATTCGCTGTATAAACTGCAGAGTAACAAAAGAGGAAGAGCGTGGGAAAAATCTGCATCGGAAAGCGACGACAACTAGACTTTTAGTGGCAGATCCTCAGCTGGAGTAAGTAGCACACCTCCTCTGAAGTTAATAAAGTGACATCGATTTATACCAGCTGATGGGTTGGGTGCTTGGATGAAAATGAATTCAGTCAGACTTAGGAAAATCAAGCATATCTCTGCTGAAGTCAACAGACTAGCACTTTGTGTGTGAGAGGAATCTGAAGCCCTCCTTGGGCCAGAATTTCAGCCGGTATAAATGTGTATAACTCCACTGAAGCCAATGCTATGCTGATTTACACCAGAAGTGTATCTGGTCCATTGTCTGCTGCATGTGATATTAAAGGTGTATGGAGTAAGATCCCAGTGTTTGCGACTTATGTCATCATTTACAATTAAGCAAAGGAGTTGCAGAGTGTCAAACACCACCTGTCTGATTGACAGCACTTTGCACCCATATAAATGACAATACAAGCTTCAAGAGTCCCTAAATATTTCTACCATAGATAAACTCTTTGGGCTTGGTTCTCCTCTCACTTGCCTCACTTTTATGTCTATACAATTCCAGAGGCTTTTATGGAGTCACTCCTGATTTGCACCAGTGTAAGTGAGAACAGAATGTAGTAACCGTATTGCTTACATTTTGTGGTGAAACAAATTAATTCCCACTCTCTGCACGCTTTTAAAAGAAGATTGTCAATGCAGTTTGTACTGAAATAACAAAGTAAACTCTTATGGGCCATGGCACCATGTATTCTCTTGGAATGGTGGAAATAAACGGAAGCTATTTATTTTTGATCCAGCATACCAGATTGAAAAAAGAGTGGCCAGAAGAGAGGCCCAAGGCTGAAGAATGTACTGCAAAATTTAAAGTAATTTTTTGGACATTTAGTTTTGGGCAATTTTATGCCCTTCAAACTTCACTGTGTGTGCGTGAATTTCTGCATTCTAAAAAGCCAAATTTAAATGTCTGCATTTTTTTCTGTAGAAAGAAAGAAAGAAAGAAAGAAAGAAAGAAAGAAAGAAAGAAAGAAGCCAACTTCTTTTTTAACAAAACATTTTTGGATTCTTAACTAAGAGCTGGGGTTTTCAAAACAGCCTAGGGGGTTTAGGTGCCCAAATCCTATTCAGAGGGAGTTCAGCACCTTATTCGCTTGGGCTCATTTGAAAAATCCCAGCAGAAATTTAGAAAAACTTGATGTTCAAATGGTTTTGCCTTTGGGTGGGTGAAATTCACCTTCATGCAAAGAGCCAGACAAAGGGCTATAGTAGGACTTAAGTCACGTGTAGGCATTATCCTGCCCTCTGCACAGCGGTGAATTTCACCCTAGATCCTGCTCTTGGTGGCAAAGCTCAATGGGGCAGAGTCAAGCCCTGGGCTGTCTGCGGTGGGGTCATGCACTGTGATGTATCTTACTGGCATTTCATTCATCACTGCACAATTTTGCAACCAGTTTGGCTGTTAGGAGACAATAAAACCTTTGTCTTTCTATGCCATTTATTTATTTTTGTACTCATATTCTGGCAGTGATGAGCTTGGTTTTTGGAGCTTAGTTCCTGTCACTTCTTCTTCTGAAAGAGGTCGTCCTCAGAGAGTACGCTTTCATACCACCAGGACTCCCTCCGGAGGAAAAGGAGAGTCCCCCGCTGCCCATTCCGCTTCCCAGGCCAGTTCCTCCTCCAAAGCCATACCCACTCGCGCTGCTGTATCCGCCTCCAGCACTAGAATTGACCACAGCTATAGTGCAAAAACAAAACCATCATAAATGCCTGGGTTTGCAGATCCACTCCAGTCAGGAGAGCACAATGCAATTGCAGCTGTGCCCAGCTGGCGCAGAGAGGGCCTGATTCTCCATCGCCCTGCACCTTGTGTCATGATTCACCCCAGTTCAAAGAGACTGCCAAGTGTACAAAGCAGCCATTTTGTGTGTACTTTGCACTGATTTTGCACTGGTGTAAATCACAACAAAGGGTGCAGAACAATGGAGAATCAGGCCAAGATGGTGTCATGGGAACAGAAGCATGACCTGGCAACGAGGCCCCAGTCCTGCATTAAGAAGCACTTCTGCCCACCCCTGTACCCATGCAGACTCCCATTCACAATGGGACTCCCACAAGGAAGCAGGAGTCTGCACTAGTGTATCTCATTGCAGGATCAGGACCTAAGGGTGGCCAGTGCATGGCAAATGGTACATTTTTGGTGCTAGCTAGAGCTGTGTGGCAACTGGATTTTTCCTTTTCACAGGAAATTCCATGCATCCAAAAAACATTCTGTTCCAGAATAGAATGAAAAACAAATTTGAAATTTTAGTTGAAATAATTTTTAAAAACAACTGTTTCAGATTGATCGAAACGTTTCTTTTCAGTTTTGGTTTTTGAAAAAGAATTAACGTGCATATTATCAAATAAAAGAAATTAAGCGAAAAGTCTTTTTGAAATGTACAATTGGAACGCTCCATTCAGATTTTTTAAATGACATTTCATTGAAATCGACACATTTCTGCAAAACCCTTTGGTTTCAACAAAATGGCATTTTCCGATGGAGAAATGTTCAGTCAGAAAATTTCTGACCAGGTTTAGTGCTAACATCGCACAGACAGAACATCTGGTGGATGAGTATTTTTGACTTCAATGGGATTATTGATGTACTTAAATTTAAGCATGGGCTAAAGTGATTTGCTGGGGCTAGAATATTCAAAATAAATAAATACATGAATAACCATTATGGAAAAATCCTGTCAAATTTCATAGAAAGTTATCCGTTTTCATACACACTCTCATATGAAGCTGCCGTTTATAAAGGGTTCAATAAATGATCAATAGGTACTAGAAGCATGTCACAGTCAAGAGCGGTATGTGTCATAAACAATTATAACTGCACAGCCTGGCCCAATAGAAGTGTCGCACAGGGAGTGGAACCAATTTTTGCCCCTTTACACAGGCTACGTCTGCACTACATGCCAGGGCTGTGAGACCCAGCTCCTGTAGCTCATCTGAGCTAGCATGCCAAACACAGCAGCACAGCTGCGGCAGCTCTGGTGGTGGGGTTCAGGAAGGTTTGTACGTGGGGCAGCCACCATGGCTGCGCTCGTGATTTTAAAGCCCTAACTCAAGTGAGCGTTGGCGTGAGTATGGCTACTCAAGCTGGGAATCGCACCCCTAGCTCCTAGCCATGTCAATGAGAATCAGGCTCTGTAGGTTTGGAGGGCGCGCGAAAGGTCTATAGCAGGGGTGGGGACCCTACAGCTGGCGGGCCGGATCCGGCCTGCTGCTTCATTTCATACCGCCCGGGGCAAGTCTCTGTGCCGTGGGCCGGAAGCCCCGACGCTCCCGGGCCTGTGGAGCTGGAGCTGTGAGCGCTGGCTCACCAGAAGTCCGGTCGGCTCTGCGCAGTGACCAGCAGCGACCGGCATGTCCCTGCAGCCCCTAGGAGCAGGGGCAATCAGGGAAGCTCCACGCGCTGCCCCCGCCCCCTGTGCCGGCTTCGCAGCTCCCATTGGCCGGGGGAACCGCAGCCAATGGGAGCTGCGGGAGCAGCGCCTGCAGGCACGGGCAGCACGCGCCGCGCAGAGCCTCCTGGCCCCTCTGCCTGGGGGCCGGACATGGCGGCCGCTTCTGGGAGCAGCGCAGAGCCAGGGCAGGCAGGAAGCCTGCCTTAGTCCCGCTGCGCAGCTGACTGCGAGCCACCTGAGGTAAGCGCCACTCAGAGCCCACACCCTGAACCCCCTGCCCCAGGTCAGAACCCACTCCCGCACCCGAACTCCCTCCAGACCCCCTCACCCACACCCCTGCCCCAGCCCTGAGCCACCTCCCACACCCAAACTCCCTCCCAGAGCCCACACCCCAACCCTCCTCCCGCACCCCAACCCCCTGCCCCAGCCCTGAGCCACCTCCCGCACTCCAAACCACTTGGCCCCAGCCCGGAGGCCACTCCTGCACCCTAGACCCTTCATCCCCAGCCCCACACCAGCACCCGCGCCCCCAGCTGGAGCCCTCACCACCTCCTGCACCCCAAACCCCTGCCCCAGCTTGGAGCCCCCTCCTGCACCCTGAACCCCTCATTTCTGGCCCCACCCCGGAGCCTAGGGAAGCCCTGAACCTTTCCCCCTCCTCTCCCCCGTGGGGCTTTGTGTATCCCATGACTGATTTTTTCGGTGGGTCAGTGGCCCTTGATAGAAGAAAGGTTCCCCACCCCTGGTCTATAGGATACCATTGGGGTCTTCCTCATTCATTTTCTCTAGGGATCCAATAAAATCAAATCAATGGCCTGTGAACTCTGAAGCACGTTTTCTCCAACTTCTCTAGGGAAGGAATTAATTGTAAAGCCAACTCACAGATGCTGACACTGCCAACGTGGTCCCCAGCCAACCTGTGGAGGGAGGAAAACAAAGGCAAGAAAGAAGAAGTTTGGTTAGACTTCTCATCAGATATGGTACCCAGAGGCTTTTGGCTTTGAAGACCAGCACAATGGGAATGTATTATGATTGCTATTATAAATAATGAATACGAGACAGCTGTATCATCAGGTACTTTGTCCTTTACTAACAAACGTGCTTCATCCCTTCAAGACATGCATTGTTAATGGCACGTCCGACTCTGACAGGAGCTGATGGGGTAAATCTGGTTGAAAATTTTCCATCTACATGAGTTATTTTTAATAGAAAACCATTTTGTTGGGTTTTTTTTTTTTTGACAAAATGGATGTTTCCATGGAAAATGTCACTTTGGTCAAAACAATTTTGGAATTTGGGTTAAAAAAAAATGAAAATTTTCCCATGCCCAATAATCTGTTTCTACACTGAATTTTTTTTTGCCAGCAAGAGAAAACAGAACATGCTTTGAGCAGGGGGTGGGACTAGATGACCTCCTGAGGTCCCTTCCAACCCTGAGATTCTACGATTCTATGATTTATTTAAAAAAATGAAACGTTTCGAAGAAAAATCCCGTCAAAACTAAAAAAATAATTCATTTTCATTGAAATTTTTCACCGGGGAAAAAATCAGCTCGAAATGGGATTTTTGCCATTGATGTCCATGAGAACGCAGCAGGGCACTGAAATCTGTTCTGGGCTCGCGTGGGACTGATGTGGTGCATTCGCTTTTCCCTGCCTCTGGGGTTAACTTTTCTCCCACCTCCACGAATATTCCCAATCGACAGACACACCGTTGCATTAATGCCCCAATTCAGAGAGGAGCTGAGAACTTGCCTCTCCCATTGATGATGACGGTCATTGAATCCCATCTCTCAGGATCAGGTCCTGTAAGTCATTTACCTTTATGGAGCAGTTTTAAAGCCCTGAATCCTGCTCCAGTTAAGACAGTGGTAAAACTCGTTGACATCAAAGGAAGTAGGACTGAGCCCCGGATACAGCAAATGATGTCTCATGGGAAACTGTGAACAACACTGGATCTGATTCCTCACCGCCTGGTGCCTGTCACCATTCACCCCCACGTGCAAAACTGGTGTAATGCCCCCGTTCTGATGTGGGAGCATCACACATCTTCTTTGCACAGGTGTAAATAACCATTCAAAGTGTAGGACAACGGAGAAATGGGTCCTTCTTTCTAGAAACGATTTTGCGTGCTGCGCACACCATGGGTCAGACCCTCTGGGGTAAATTGGCCTAGTTCTGATGAACTATGCCAATGATTTTAGGCCTGTATATTGCACCCACCTGCTCTCTTCTCCCTCCAGCAGCTTTCTGTAGGTGGCGATCTCGATATCCAGGGCCAGCTTGACGTTCATCAGATCTTGGTACTCCCGCAGCTGGCGGGCCATGTCCTGCTTGGCTTTATTCAGGGCAGCCTCCAGCTCCTCCTGTTTTGCCATGGCGTCTTTGATGGCCCTCTCGCCACGTTCCTCAGCCTCAGCAATGGCTGCCTCCAGCTTGGCACGCTACAAGTGCACAACACGGGACTTCAGTGTGTGTTTCAGCCCCTTGGTGTGGTATTTCTGTTCTACTATCTAGCTATGCCCTCTATGGTATCCATCCATCCCTCTATGCCATTTATGGTATTCATCCATGCATGACATCTATAGTATCCATCCATCCCTCTATGCCATCTACGGTATTCATCCATGCATGACATCTATAGTATCCATCCATCCCTCTATGCCATCTACGGTATTCATCCATCCATCTTTGTACTGGATGGATAGACACACAAATAGCTAGACCTATCCATCTATCTATCCATCCATCTATCTGTCGATGACATCTTTGTATCAGAGAGAGATATACACAGAGAGAGATGGACTATCTATCTATTTATCTATGTATCTAATCTAGGCATTCCCAATGCACAATGAGTTAGTTGACTTCTTCTTAGAAGTCACTCCAGCTGGAGCTGCCATTCTAGATTGGACCTTGGGTCCATCTATGGTAGTTGGGCAATGAGCAAGACCTGACCTTCCAGAGGAGGACAAAAAACTCCCAGTGCAATCTGCCTGTCTACAGATGGATTGTATTTCTAGTGCACCCTTTACTGTAGGATCAACATTACATACATCTGTAGAATAATACAACTGTTGGGATGGAAGGCTTGCTTTTAAACTGCCATTCATTATTCAAAAGCAGCTTTACTGGCTCACACTATTTGCTTATGAATGTGTGTTCCAGCCACCCTGCCCTGAAACCAAATAAACACCGCTGAGTGATTTACAATAGCTTATCTCCCCACTTTTTGTGCACTCTGGTTATTCATTGTAAATATCCACGCCTTGCAGGCAGTGAGCCATCAACTTTGCAGGAGTTTTAAACATCCCTTTGATGCACTGATTAAAGCGGCAGGATGAAGTGAAGAAAAACCCCAGCCTGGCTGAATGAGCCGATCGTGTGCACACCTGGCTCTTCCCTGATACAGAAAGGGAGTGGAGAAGTTAGGTGGATGGATCATAGAAGTCAGAGATGGCAAAGAATTGAAGTGTCATGTCCCTCTCCGTAACCCATGCAGGATTGCTCCCTATTGCACTGAAATTAAAAACCCTGGACGGCTCGTGGCAGCTGACTTGGGCTTGTGGGTCTCAGGCTGTGGGGCTGTAAAACTGCATTGTAGACCTTGGGGTAGAGTGGCCATTTGTCCCGTTTTGGCTGGGACAGTCCCTTTGTGGCAAAGGTGGGCATTTGTCAAAAAAGTGGGGGGTGAAAGAACATGCGGGGGGTGAGTGGGGATGCCAGCCCCGTGCAGAGTGGGAGGCAGGGCTCAGGCAGGGGGCAGACAGGGCTTAAGCAAACAGCTACGCCAGCCCCAGCCTTGCGTGGGGGGCAGGCAGGGCTCGGGGGACCAGCGATGCCAGCCCTGCATGGGGGGGCTCGGGCGAGCAGCTCAGGACAACCCTGTGTGGGGGGAGGCAGGGGAAGGTCTCAGGCTAGCCCCACACAGTGTCTCTTTTTCCCTTTGGGAAATATGGTCACCCTACATTGAGGCTCAGGTTGGACCCTGGGATCTGAGATCCTCCCCCATCGCGGAATCCACCTTGAATTGTCCCTTAGAGTATATACTAACTACCTATGCTAAACAATGTGTTCCACCTTGAATTTAGCTGTGACACTCAAAGTTCCTTTCCCAGACCTGAAGAAGAGCTCTGTGTTGTTTCTCTCACCAACAGAAGTTGGTCCAATAAAAGATATTATCTCCCCTGCATTGTCTCGCTATTAACCTGTGTGTCAAGCGCATCTGCTGCAGTGCTTCATGGGAGTTGTAGTCCCATGTTCCTCATGGCCCCATTCTTTTTTATGGGCCCGGCTCGCCAGTCAGACTCCATCCTCCATGATGCACTGGAGTGCCTCGCTGTGGCTGAGCCATCATGACATAGAGCCAGGAATAGAAACCACGTTTCCCGACTCCTACAATAGTGCCCTATCCACTAGACCATGACTGTAATGGAAGTACTCCCAGAGTAAAGCACTGGCCAGTGGAAGTCATGGTGGCAGAACTGGGATCAATATAACAACGGACACCTGGACATTTGGCTGTTGCCTTCCCTCGCAAGATCTTCCTCTTCTGACATTATAACTGCAGCTTTCTCCAAGTGCTTTTAATAGGCACTGACCTTAAGACCTCTTACTGTATTTATGAACCTTCTTTCTATTAAACTCATGACTCAACACACTCTGGAAGAAGCAGCAGGAAAACCAGGCCAACGCCTCACCTGGCTTTTCACGTTGTCAATTTCAGCCTGCAGTCTGTGGATCATGCGGTTAATCTCCGTGATCTCGGTCTTGGTGTTGCGCAGTTCATCGCCGTGTTTCCCCGCAGTGGCCTGCAGCGTCTCAAACTGTGGTACACAACAACAGCTCCATAAAGGACAGTCATCATGGTAGCTCTCAATGGCCCCTCACAGACTAGCCTCTCCAGACACAGATTAAATAGCAGAAACTCCGAGTTCCCCTATTTCCATCATCGCTCACCTTGGTTTGGTACCAGGATTCAGCTTCCATTCGGCTCTTGTTGGCCATTTCCTCGTACTGCGCTTTGACCTCAGCGATGATGCTGTCCATATCCAGGTTTCGGCTGTTGTCCATGGTGAGGACCACAGAGGTGTCAGAGACCTGTGCCTGCAGTTCACGAAGTTCCTGCGAATTACATTAAACACATTATAATCTCAATTGGCTAATTTTCTATCTCAGCTGAGCTTCAGGGTTGCCAACTTTCTATTTGCAGAAAATCGAATACCCTTGCCCCGCTCCCTGCCCCACTCCTTTTCCAAGGCCATGTGCCCCTGCTCACGCCATGTCCCTCCCTCTGTCGCTCGCTCTCCCCACCCTCACTCACTCACTCATTTTCATCGGGCTGGGGTAGGTGTTTGGGGTGCGGGGGGTGGCGAGTGGTGGTGAGGGCTATGGGTATGGGCTCTGGGGTGGGGCTGAGGATGAGGGGTTTGAGGTGCAGGAGAGGGCGCTGGGCTGAGGCAGGGGGTTGGGGTATGGGAGGGGGTATGGGATCTAGGCTGGGGGGTGTGGGCTCTGGGGTGGGGCCATAAATGAGGGGTTCAGAGTGCAGGAGGGGGATCCAGGGTGGGGCAGGGGGTTGGGGTGTGGGGGGGTAAAGGCTCCAGCTGCAGGTACAGGCTCTGGGGTGGGACCAGGGGTTTGGGGTGCAGGAGAGGGCTCCGGGCTGAGGCAGGGGGTTGGGGTGTGGGAGGGGGTATGGCCTATGGTCTGGGGGGTGCAGGCTCTGGGGTGGGGCATAAATGAGGGGTTCAGGGTGCAGGAGAGAGATCCGGGCTGGAACAGGGGGTTGGGGTGTGGGAGGAGTGAGAGTTCTGGCTGGGGTGTGGGCTCTGGGGTGGGGCCGGGGTTTGAGGTGCAAGAGGGGGCTCTGGGCTGGGGGAGGGGGCTGGGGAGCAGGATGGGATGCGGGCTCTGAGCGGCGCTTACCTCAGGGGGCTCCTGGGAAGCTGCCAGCATCTCCCTCCGGCTCCTAAGCGGAGGCACGACCACGTGTCTCTCTGCACTGCCTGCACCTGCAGGCACCGCCCCCTCAGCTCCCACTGTCCAGGGTTCCTGGCCAATGGAAGCAGCTGAGCTGGTGCTGGGGGCGGGGGCAGCGCACAGAGCCCCCGTGGCCACCCCTCTGCCTAGGAGCCAGAGGGAGATGCCGGCAGCTTTCCGGGAGTCACACAGGAGCTTGACTTTTAACGTCAGTGGTGCTGACCCGCAGCCGCCAGGGTCTCTGGGTTCCAAAACCAGACACCTGACAACCCTAGCTGAACTGTTTGATCTCTCTCTTCTGTTCTAAGGTGTTACTTGTAGAAACCAATTAAGATCAGAAAAGAGAAGCAAAGGAAAGGAAAGGAGATAAGAAGAAACTTGTCAAATAAATCATTAGCCAGGAAGGAATCCAACTAAGTGTCGCAATACAGTAGCTGCCAAAACAGATCATTCTGATGCTGCAAGGTGAAGAAAAAAAGCAGAGATGTACCTGACACCTGTATCCAAACTCACCCAAAGTTTAAGGGGGGTCAAGGAGCTTTGCCCCTCTGTAGAGAAAGGAGCCCAGCTGTGATGTGAAGGGCCAGATCCAAATTCATTCAAAGTTTGGATCCAGAGTTTTGGATCAGGCCCAACTTTACTACAAAGTTAGGGCCAGATTCTACCACTCTTAGCCAAGGATGTAAAGAGACTATCTCGCCATCTGAGCAAGCCAGGTTTAAAGTAAGAGGGCAGGGAGGGATAAATTAGAGATGGCTGCTCCTACTCTCCCTAGCAAAGGCAGTGAGAGCTCCTGCAATGGGGTGACCACCCCACACGGGACTGAAAGGGTTAAGGTGGCCAGGCAGGCCAATGAACTCCAGAGGCTGGAGGAAGAGCCAGGAGCAGGGAACTAATTGGAAGCAGGTTCAGCTGGGCAGGAACAGGTGGGGCCTGTAGAAAGCCAGGTAGCTGGCAAAAGTTGAGGAGTGCTGGGAAAGGCTGCAGGAAGGCAGGCAGCAGTCACTCCCTGGGAAGCGGGAGAAGGTTTGGAGCTGGTACACCCAGAGAGAGAAGGGGAACCAGGTGTGGTAGGAAGCAGTCTAGGGAAGGAGCAGTGAGGACGGAGAGAGGAAAGCCCAGAATGGCTGAGCTGGGGGGGGGTCCCTGGACTGGAACCTGGAATTGAGGGCAGGTCTGGATTCCCCTGCCAGCCACTGAGGGAGTGAATGGGAAGACTGCCTAGGACGGCTGGACAGGAAAGACTGGAAGGGGGAAAGTGCTGAGTGATCTAGCCGGAAGGAAGAAGACGCTGTGGTTCCTGGAGTGAGAGTGTGGCTGCAGACCAGAGGGAGAAGCGGAGCAATGGCATGCAAACTGCAGAAGGGGCGTCAACCTCAAGAGCTAATCCCCAGAGTGACCAGGAGGAGGCGCCAGACCAGAGGGGAGTGGTGCCCTCTGTGACAATTTGGTGGAGAACGCAGGCACACGGTTGCTCCTGCTACAAGGGGAGGTTGAGAGACTGTGGTGGACTGTGAAAGACTGTATAAGGCAGTTACCCTGATGCAAGGGGAGCAGGACAGACTATAATAGAGACACTTGAGGCAAAGTGGCAATGGAGCCGCAGTGCATGGAAGCTTTCTTTGCAGAAGGCATTTAGACCCTCCCAGGAAGGACTCCAGAATCCCCCCACCCCCTGCAGAAGTTGGGGGGATGACAAACAGCAGGGATGGATCCAGGCCCTGCTGCAGCAGGTGCTGGAGAACCAGCAGAGACAGTGGGAGACACGTTGGTATGTGCAGAATTATTTGGCGCAGCTGGCCAAACTGCAGCAGGCTCTAGTTATAAGCTCCTGCAGGAAGAAATTAGTAGAGGCCTCAGGGAGCAAGATAGGAAGGAAGATATCGGAGCTAGGAGGCTGGAGGCCTGGGCACCAGGAGTGTTACGCCTGTGAGTGAGGAGAACACCAGAAAAGGGAATGCCCCTGCTAGGATGGGGAAGAGAGGAAAGCCCCAAAGAGTGCGTCCTGTGGGGAGAACAGGAAAAGGAGGGGCATGTTTTGCCTGTGGTCAGTGGGGGCACCTTTGGAGGAGATGCCCATACATGAGCTGTGAGGTGAAGGCAAGCCCAGGGGAAGGGGCTGCGCAAGAGAAGGCCAAAAGGAAGCCTTGCTGACAAGGCAAAGAAAAGGGTTTGCTTTGGGTGCCATGAGGCTGGCCATGTAAAAAGGCATTGCCCACTTAAGAGAGGGTGTGGTAGCAAAGGGGAAGTATGGGTCCCAGTGAGGCAGGAAAAAAGGGGTTATGAGATAGAACAATTGGGACAGAGAGGGCCCAGGTGAACGTAGGAACGACCGCAGAAGGGCAGCAGACTACGGTGGGGACTCAGACCCTGATGGAAAGGGTATTGGAGGCTTTCCAATCGGAACTGGAGGGAGACCCAAGGTGGAGTCTTCAGGCATCATGACCAGGACTCAGTGAACTTCTTTTGCCACCAGAAAATCAATATTAATTTTTTTTTAGCTTGCACCACTTGCATCTTCTGCAGTAAACTCGCTTCAGAAGGAAACCTGTGATCCCCTGGCTCCCGAGTCTGTTTAAATACAAAGTTCACATGGAACAAAGAGCCGGATTTGCTAAACGGTGATTTGAGTCGTCTATGCAAATTACGATCAACCAGGGGGCCTACACGTGTTGCCACAGGCAGAGCTCCATTGTCAACTGTCCAGGACCCAAAGGGAAAATTTCGAAGTGGGGTATAAATTAAGGCTAGTTGAAAATTTTCCACTGAAACTGAAAATTGGATTTTTGACTAAGCAAAATAAAATTTTGTGAGAAGTGTCTGCTTTCCAGGGCAAATTTCAATTTTTGGCCAGAAAATGGAAAGTCTGAAAACGAAAATATTTTGATGATTAAATGCCACGGTGGTGCCTCATGAGTAATTGAAGTGCCTTGTGCCCCCATTCTCCTGTATAGACCAGGGTCCCCAGTTGGACTTCATCTTCCATGGTGCACCACTGCTTTGTGAGTGCCGTACTACACTGCTTTCCCCTACCGTAAGGAAGGACTGTGGTGCATTATGGGAGACGTAGTCTGACTAGGGAGTCTGGTCTATAGAAGAGAATGAGGTCCTGGAAGTACAACTCACAGGAGGCACAAGGATGGCATTTCACAATCAAAATATGTGGGGTTTTTGCCAAAATATTTTGTCTAAAACACACACACACACATGCGTTTTCCAATTAGCTCTATTAGAAATGCAGTCACAAAATAAATTCACAACACTAGAGTTCTTCTTCAGCTCTTGTGTCTTTCATCACGGATGACAAGAAATCATTGCATGAGATCACAGGGACTGCAAACTTCATTTGATCTGTTTTACCCTCAAGCTGTTGCTTGGGTGGCCATGGGCTGTATTTTATGACACCGGGGGACTGGGACAAATATAGCACTTTAGGGCTTCATTTTTGAGCATCACTGAACAGATCCTCACAGTCTGAACCTCTTGCTCATATGCATAGGACCTGATTCTCCTCCTTACAAAAGTATAACTCTATAATCTTTCCGGAAGCTATTCCTGATTCTCACTTGTTTAAGTGAGAGAAAAATCAAGGTCTATCCATCCAACCATCCATAATATTTACATACCATAGCCACAAATCACGAAGCATCTCCTTGGAAACGTCAATCACTGATGGAGTTACACATCATCAGTCTGTCTATGATAGAGGGAAAGGGCACTTACTGCTTCGTAGAGAGACCTCAGGAAGTTGATCTCATCGGTTAAGGCATCTACCTTGGCCTCCAGCTCCACCTTGTTCATGTAGGAAGCATCGACATCCTGAAGAATAATCAAGACACCAAGTTTGGCTTCTGTGGAGGTCAGGGGTGCTCACTGTCTCTGAAAATCAGGGTGTTTATTCAGGTTCCCAGATAAGGATTCGGGTGTTGCCTACGTCCAGGGCTAGTCTATACTAGAAACGTTACCGCGCCTCTGCCCCTTTGAAACTTAACTTCTGCGATTTCGTTCAAAGATCGTGCCACTCACCTTTTTAAGAACGACAAACTCATTCTCTGCTGTCGTGCGCTTGTTGATTTCATCTTCATACCTGATGGGAGGAAAGGAAGCGGCGTGCGTGAGAGTGAAAGCTGGTCAGGAGTTTTTAGACAAAACATTTTCTCGTCGTAAAACGCCTGTTTGTGGAAACGGACACTGTCGGTTTGGATAAATCTCCCGATTTGAGAAATGGGTTTTTTTTTTTCATTTTGAAATTGTACAAACAGGACTGTTTTACGTTTTAGACACAAAGCTTCGTTTTTCGGTTCCAAGTGACTTTTTTGTTTTGAACTTTCACTTCATTTTCTTGACCTTAAAAATAGCCTTAAAAATGTTAAAATGTTGAAATTGAAACACAACATTTCAGTTGGGCCCAATCTGATCTTTTCCCAGATTATCAGTTTACACATATCTGGGGGATTTTGACTTTTTGTTTTGATATGGGGTGGGGAAAAAGTCAAATCTCAGAAACTCTCATGGAATGGGAAAGCACCTACCTCTAGCTAGACCCCAGCCAAAAATTCACAATGAATAATTTAGCTGATCAATTTAACCTCTTGATCCATTTGAGAATCATCTCCAGTCAGCGTATGATTTCCCATGATGTGTTTGTCATTTGAAATTGTTTGCTGCAGGTTCTGCAGAGTGCTATTTAAAGTGGGGGGGGGCCACATAGATTTGCCCCCTCCCACATTTTACCCTCCTTTTCCCTTCTTAGGGCTCCCCCGAGCCGCCTGAGCTCCCAGCCTATGAGCAGCCCCTACACTCACACCCTCCAAATTTAAGAAAATAATCCTTAGTCCTAGATCCTCAGCTGGTGTAAATCAGTAATGGTACTACTCCTATTTACATCAGCTGAGGGCCTGACCCTTGGTCTGCCCAAACAGCTCATTGCAAGTGTCTAATATTTGAAATTCATGCTGTGTTATTTGTCTTTGATTGGACACATAAGTCACATGCTATTGTTTAGGCTGCCTGTTTGGATGAGCGGTAACTCATGGAATCAGGTTCCTGGTGCAAAGAGTCACAACTTCCTCCCCAGGATACCCACCAAAAGCGAATGCTGGTCCAAAAAGGGTGTGAACAGTTACAGCAAATTCATCCAAACATCTTCCAAACTTGTCTGGCAGTATTTCCTCCTCCTCGTTATCATTGCTATTGTTATGCATATCTTTATACCAGGATTTCAAAGCATTTTGCAGGCATTGATTAAGCCTCAATATACCAGTAGAAGGTAAGCAAGTCTAATTAGCCCCTTTCACAAATGGGGAAACTGAGTCACAGAGAGGCTATGGCTCAAATTTTCCAGTGCTCTCTAATTTGGGCTACATCAGTTTCTGGTTATCCATTTTTATCACGAGCTGTTTGTACTACAGTCGCATCTAGGAGCCCGGGTGACGGACCAGGACCCCATTATGCGACGCACTGTACAATCACAGAGCAAAAAGACCCATCTTTAGATGCAATGGGCTAGATCCTTTACATCATTCCACAGTCTTAACTGGAGCCACACTAATTTACACCCCCAAGGATCTGGCTCATAAACCCTGATTTTTAAGAATGCTGAACATTCATAACTCCAGCTGAAATTAACAGGCACTATTGGAGCCCAGCGGCACCTCTGAAATGCAGGTCTGCACGTAAGTCACTTGCCCAAGTGAATCCACAGCAGAGTGGAAAATGCAACCTGGAACAACCTGAAACTCAGTACAACAGCCCCTGAAATCCCCAGCAGAGCAACTCCGTGTTTTTCATTCTAGCTGAGCAGAGCTGTCTGTGAGATACTATTGTTGGGATCATAATAGCTGCTCTGTTTGCTTACACGGCTGCTGCACAGCTGGTACGAAACCTGTTGCTTTCCAAAGTGCTTTGAGGAACCTTGAGTTCAACAGGCACCCTGTAGGCTGCAGTTCTGGTTTATGTTGCCTGCAGCAGAACGGTGCGTTGCATATACAGAGTCAGGTCTTCAGCTCGTAAAACTCAATGCGACTCCATTGAAATCAATGGAGCTGCACGAATTTATAGGAGCTGAGGATCTGGCATTCGTGAGCAAATTGCATACCCTGACATTGACACTGGCATGCTCTGCACACAGAACCTGTAGTATGGAGAGAAAGGGAATGAAATAAGTGAACAGATGTCAAAGGAAAAGGAGTACTTGTGGCACCTTAGAGACTAACCAATTTATTTGAGCATGAGCTTTCGTGAGCTACAGCTCAGAAGTGAGCTGTAGCTCACGAAAGCTCATGCTCAAATAAATTGGTTAGTCTCTAAGGTGCCACAAGTACTCCTTTTCTTTTTGCAAATACAGACTAACACGGCTGTTCCTCTGAAAGATGTCAAAGGAGTTACCTGCCTCACCCCAAATAAGGGTATGTCTTCGGTGCACGTAGGTCTGAGCCCAAGCCCCTTCCATCCCCATACAAATCGTTCTGACTTGGGTCAGCAAGCATCCCGGTCCCAGAACCTTGCTTGGCCAGAGGGTCAGAGGCCGAGTCCCGCTCAGCGGATGGGTCCAAGCCCTGTCATTTTGCAGTGTGGATGCAGCTCAAGCACAGACCCGAGTCGGAAGGACTGCGTCGTACACTATGAATGTATTAGCACAGCTGGGAGACCCGGGTCCAGCAATTGTAAGCCCCAGTTTACAATGCAGTGTGGATGGTCAAGCGCAGACGTGGAAACACCAAGTCCACAAGTCTGGGTCCCACAGACCCGGGTTTACAATGCAGTCTTGGCATGCCCGTTATCGGTGTCAATCCAGGTACCGAATTCAGTATGACTTGCACCTGATCGGACGTATAGTGGTGTAAATCAGGAGCAACTCCACTGATGTTACTGGTGTAAAACTGATATGAGTGAGAGAAGAATCACAACCATCTTGATTAGCTTCATGCTTCAAAATGCTTAGGGCCCGATTCTTATTTACACTTTGACCCTTTTTTACACTGCTCTGCCTTTGTAAAGGGGCCTTGCAGTGGGGGTTAATTACAGGCACACTCAATTTAAGACCCCTTCACCTTGCCAGAGCTTTGAAGTCCCTGTGCTTGATTCTCTACTGCCTTTGCACCTGGGCAGGCATTTACACCCACTTTGCACGGCACCAGAGAAGCGACACTTACGCCAGCTGAGGATCCTGGGCTGAGGAATGGAAGCTTTTTAAACCCTCTTCGCACAGGTGTAAAGCACTGCTCCATAGGTGAGATATTAATAACCCAAGCAATGGGGGACATCCGTTAGGCAGGAGATAATGCAGCCCCCAACAGTCTTTGTTTTGTTTCATGTACACGCCCCTCAGCTGCACCTGTGCAGGGATTACCGGTTATTGACTTTTCTCCTGACACTCCCTGGGGTTTATCTGCGCTATTTACAGTTCCTGTCTGCTCCGTTTGCCAACTCAGATGGGCGCGGCCTGGGATGAAAGGAGTGAGGAGTGGTTTGAGTTGGACTTTCCCAAAGGAGTTGGTTAAGATTGAGAAGCCCCTTGTTAGATCACAAGTCATTTCCCCCCCCATTGTTTCCATGGGTCTATGTCAACGACAGGTAGGCAGCATTATGAATCATAGGGACCTACACTATAGGCAGCGTTGCCTACTGGATAGTTTTAGCACTGAAAGTGGCAGTGTGGACACAGCTTTGGGAGACCTGTCTCTGCCACTGGCCTGCTGAGTGACCTTAAGCAAGTCATTTCACTGCCCTGTGCCTCAGTTTCCACACCGGTAAAAGCGTTGTAAAGTGCATTGAGACCTACTGACAAACTGTGCTGTATAAGAGCTAGGTGTTATTATCTTTAATAGCTGTGATAGATGTAATTTAGCATTTTATATTATGATGTTGTGACATTACCAAACCAGAACATGGTGATGTTTTCAGGAAGAACTATTTTGAAAGCGCCATTCCACACACAAAAAATTGAAAAAATTCCTCTTGTCTGTTACAATTCAGAACCAAAACACATTCTGAAATGTCAGCATTTCCCCCCGGGAATGGAAATGCTGTTTCCCAGCCGTCTCTAGTACAAAGTCTCTGTTTGCAAACAAAGCTTTCTCCCTGGCTGCAATCGATCTGTCTTTCCTTCTGGAGAGGGTTTCCGTTCCCTCTTCCAATACTGTAACTGTAAGTCAGCCAAAGGTCAGCCACTGACTACAGGGTTGGAAATCTCTTCTGAATGAGCCATCTAAATTGCCTTAGCACATACAGATAAGGTCCCTTAGAAGTTTAGATAGATTCTACAGAACTGTGTTGCTAGAAGCGCGTGTGTACAAATGTAACACCGGCAGACCCTGGTCGTCGGTGGGCGGGATCGAACCTGGGACCTCAGTGCATGAGCCTCTACTGCATGAACTAAAAGCTATTTGGGGACACACACAAACACACCCCCATATGGCCCTTAGCTAAGGCTGTAGAGCAGACTCATTAATATAACACACACACACACACACACGTCTCGGTGCAACTAGATGGGACAGAACACCACACCAAGAGGTGTGGCGGGATACACAAGCAATAGCAAGCAATTACTGTGCTGGCGTGTACGCTATTTTCTGCAGGGGGTCATAGTCCCCTGCCTTAGAAAGGATCCCCCATTGAAGAGCCTGAGCCACCTTTGCAAGGATGTCAGACAGCTCTCCCGGGCTCAGCATACCGTTAGACAACTAGATGATACATTACTTGTTCCTGAAATCCTCCACAAGATCCTGCATGTTCTTCAACTCGCCCTCCAGGCGCCCTTTGTCATTCAGCCACCCGTCGAGCTGCCTCCGCAGGTTGTTGATGTAGGCCTCAAACATGGGAGCAATGTTGCTGCGGGTGGTCTTTTGGTCCTGCAGGAGGCTCCATTTGGTCTCCAGTATTTTGTTTTGCTGCTCCAGGAAGCGGACCTGCAAGCCAGGAGGGGAACCAGACCTTGTTAGCGAGCCAGCTATAACGGCACAAAGCTAGGAGAATAGTCTATCACTGCAAGGACATGCATGTTGTACGAGATGTGGGGGAAGGGAAAGGCATCTGAACTATTCAGGGAGAGAGTTTGAGATTCTGAAATGAGATAACACCCCAGATTTCTTACTACTGGTTCACTAGGCAAATGCAGCTTTTTCTTGTTAGAGAGGGACAGATTTGGCTTCCCCTGGGAATCTGCCTAATGACTTTGAGGGTAACTGGATCATAGAGCTGAACGCCCGTCACCCTTCGAGGGGATTTAAAAACTCCCAGCCTGGATTCCCATCCAAATTTTACAAATGGGTCAGTTGCCCAACTGGGGTAAAACAGTGGAGCTAAATGGGTGTCAATTAACTTCAGTAGAGCCACACCGATTTACAGCAAGCCTTGAGAACAGGTCAACTCAAAGCCCCAGATCCAAGCACCGCCTTGAATTTGGTGGTGTTGGATTGGCACCCAGATCTGACCTTTTGGGGCTTCTGAAATCCCTGGGATTTTTACAGCGTAGCCTAGGTTCCCTGAATGGCCCCAGCTTAATCAACAGGGAGCAAGCACCAAGGCCTTCACTGAAGCAAAAATTGTTGTGGAAGTCAACATGAGTAAGAATTCAATAAGTGCTACAGGATAATTTTACCATCCATCTTTAGAACTACGGGGCCTGATCCAAAGTCTAGGGAAAGTCCCCCGCTGGTTTCACTGGGGTTTGGATCATCTCCTGAGTTGCCACCCGTTCCTGCATCTCACCTTGTCGATGAAGGAGGCGAATTTGTTGTTGAGGGTCTTGATCTGCTCCTTCTCCTCTTTACGGACCATCTGGAGGGTGGGGTCGATCTGCACGTTGAGGGGCGTCAGGAGGCTCTGGTTGATGGTCACCTCTTGGATGCTGGCAGGTGTGAACCCACCACCGGCTCCTGCGCCAAACCCAGCGCCCAGCCCATATCCAGAGTGGACGCTGTAGGAGCTGCCTCCTCCAGCGCCCAGCGAAATCCTCTTGTTGGCAGAGCCTAGGCTATAGAGACTGGAGCTGCCAAAGCCACCTGCCCTTCCCAAGCTGGCACCCCCGCCCAAGGCACGGGTCGAGGAGACAGTGCTGACTCGGACCTGTCTAAAGCCCCCTGGGGGAGCAGCCGAGCGAGAACTGAAACTTACAGCCCTCGACATGGTTACTGGGCTGGGTTCTGTCCTTCCCCTCCCGAGAAAGCTCAGGCAGGCTACAGGGGAGATCAGGAGAGATCAAGTGCGTCCCTCTGAGCCTCCCTCTCCTTTTATCCGTTAGAAGAGCAGGGCTTGGTTTGAGGGCAGAGAAAGGCAGGGCTTGGTTTGAGGGCAGAGAAAGGATCATTTTACGGAGGGGTGGGTGTGTCTGGCAGCTGTCCTACCTCTTTCAATCTGCTGAAGGCGGACCGTTGACATAGTATCTCTGCTCTCCTCTCACAGATGTTAGCAGAGGGTTCTTTTACTCCTGAACCTTCCTTTGTTTCCTTGCGGCTTAGAGAGAACTTTCACAGCCTCGAGACATTGGCATTATTTTGGATATTTCCTCTAGGTTCACACAAGCAAAAATAAAAGGCAGCCATCCCTTAGCAGTAATTTCAAACATAGGGGGACCTGATTCTCATTTACACAAAGCCCCTTTACACTGCTCTCGCTCTGCACAGGAGCCTTAAAAATGCACGTGACGTTGCCAGGGCTGTTCTCCATGACACAGCCAGAATGGGGGGAAGGGGCCTTTTGAGAATCAAGCCCAGACAATCTGACATAAATCAAGAAATCTATAGCAACCACCTTACTTCCTCCACAAGAAACAATACAGTAGAACCTCAGAGTTACAAACACCTTGATAACGGAAGTTGTTCAGAACTCTGAAATATTCGTAACTCTGAACAAAACATTAGGGTGGTTCTTTCAAACGTTTACAGCTGAATATTGACTTAATACAGCTTTGAGACTTTACTATGCAGGAAAAAATGCCACTTTCCCTTGATATTTATTAGTTTACATTTAACACAGTACGGTCCCGTATTTGCGTTTGTTTTTGGTTGTTTTTCTCTGCTGCTGCCTGATTGTGCATTTCTGGTTCCAAATGTGGTGTGTGGTTGACTGGTCAGTTCCTAACTCTGGTGTTTGTAATGCTCAGGTTCTACTGTATATGGCAGATCCCAGTTAAACTTCACAGAGCAGGAGAAATAAGGAAAGGCACTTAGTGAGCGCTCCTCTGAACGGAGCTGCAGCCTATATTATAGACGAGCCACGCAGTGTGCCTGGCATCTTTCCGTTTCTTCTGACTTGTTTCCCTTTTTGATCTAAAATAAAAGCCAGCTGAGCCTGGAAGTGCGTGTTTTGCACTCTGGGAAAGGAAATGTGCACCTGTGTAGCTCTGTGGTCAAAACAAGGAAGGTCAGCTCCTGGGGTAATCCATCTGACTCCCGCACAGAAGGATGCACAAAGTAAAAATATTTTTGAAAGCCTCTCCCACTTCTGAATGTCTGCAACAAGAAAGGGTATATCCCTGCTAGGCTCTTTAAGCCCTGCCCTGATATTTGAAAATCGTGCATGGATATTTAACCCCCTGTGCTCTTCTGCTCTTCTGGGGGGGGGGGCGAGGGGGAGGCAGAGAATGATGGTACAATGTTCTGGCTAAATCACTTTCAAAATATTTGCCCTCCCCTGCGTGGGCAAAGTGGCAGGCAGCTGGAGTGGATCTCAGCCGTTCCAAGCAGGATCCTCTATGTTAGCCATGTAGGAGAAATAGCCATGAGCTTTATTGACTGACAGACACATTGGATCTGCTGCTTTCTTTCTTTGCACCAGCGCTCAGGTTGGATTCAGTTAACACATGCTAGCAAAGCCCAGCCCCAGCATAACCTTTTGCCTAGCATACAACTGGCTCTTGGTTTTTAGCTGATTGAGCTTGACCGTTGACTTCTTTGTATTGTCATTTACATGAGTGCAAAATGGGGATAAAATGCAGCCAAGAAAATCTGGGTGTGTTTCACATTCAGTTTGCACAAAGAGAAAAGGACAACATAAATTGCAAGGCAGGAGGGAATCAGACCCATTAAAAGGTAACCTTGATCTCAGTTAAATTCATATAAATCCAGATTTACGCTAATGAAGCCAATGGCCCGCCCTAATTCAGATGTCACTTATACCAGTTCTAACCCACGGTAACTCTATTTATCACAGTGGACTTAGTCCTGATTTACATCAGCAAGAGAGAAGAATCAGGTCCATTAAAAACCAGTTTCTACTCTCATTTACACTCAAATAACTTCACTGATTTCAACTGAGTTAACTCCGGATTTAGACCAGGGAAAGTGAGAGCAGGGTTCGGCTCTGCATGTTTTCTCTGGCAGTCCCAGCAGATTAGAAGCAAAGTTTCTTTTTGTTGTTGTGGACACCATGGTAACTCTGCATAGTTTTGCACCTGGATGGACTAATGAATACTTACAAATCAATGTGAATGGCCCTTAGTGACTCTGCAACAAGACACAGTATGAACCTGTTAAACACCTTCCCTTTGGGAAGCAAAAGCGTTGGAGTTCTGGATAGAGCTGGGGTAACATTTCCCCAAAAAGTCAAAATGTTTCATTTCACCTTTTTTCAAAACAAAAAGTTTGGACTTTTTGATTCAAACTGAATTTTCATTTTGAATTTGATTTAAATTTTGTTTTTAAAACATTTTTAAAGGTGGTGGTGGAGAACCTTCCAAATGAAACAATGTTGCATTTGACCGGAAACAAAAAACCCCCACCTTTTTCGGTTTGCTGAAATTTTCAAAAAATGTTCGTTTCAGATCGACGCAAAACTATTTCCCCTGATTTTATGGTTCAGCCATAAATGGTTCAATTATTTGAACAGCCCAGGTTCAGGTTGTTTGTTTCCAAGCTTAATCTTTCTCTTTGTTGAGTCACGCCACCCATCCGATGCAAGTCTGAGAGCAGTCCCTTTTCTGCGTGCACACAGAGGAAGCAATGGAATGAGTCATAACAGAGAAAATACAAAGTAAATACGAAGTCCTTATATAAACACATGGGCATACACAAGGAGGTGCGGCCTCATTTCTGCAGGTCCTTGCACAGCAAGAGCTAGCTGCTGCACTCTGGTGTCTAAACACAACCCTCTGCATTAAGCAGCAGTGAATCTAGCCCCGTGTGAACCTGAGTTGTTAATGTCGAGAGTGCGGGGCAGGAAAGAGAGTCTGAGTTGGCAGGAAACGGACATGATTCTCATCATGAAAACAAGGTGCTTATGTACCACAGATTCGTAAATTTTCATAGAATCATAGAACTGGAAGGGACCTCGAGAGGTCATCTAATCCAGTCCCCTGCACTCAAGGCAGGACTAAGTATTATCTAGACCATCCCTGACAGGTGTTCGTCCAACCTGCTCTTAAACATCCCCAATGATGGAGATTCCACAACCTCCCTAGGCAATTTAGTCCAGTGCTTAGCCACCCTGACAGTTAGGAAGATTTTCCTAATGTCCAACCTAAACCGCCCTTGCTGCAATTTAAGCCCATTTTACAGCCAGACGGGACCATTAGGTCATCTAATCTGGCCTCTTGTATAGCGTAGGCCATAGAAGTTCAGCCAGCTACCCCTCCATTGAGCCCAGTAATTTACGTTTAGGTTTGGCAGAAATAAATTTCTATTTTTTCTTCATTTCGGTGGATAATATTGATTCTTATTTTTAAGCATTTTTCACAGCTGCACAAAATTATGGGGTTTAAGCAATTTTTTTTATTGATTTAAATTTTCACCATTTCGGGACATGATAGGAGGCTCGGACAATAGGAGGGGTCAGACGACAATTATTTCATGACAGGCGACACTGAGATTCGGAAAGTGAAAGCGTTATCGCCGTTGAAACACCGATTGCCAACGTCACGTGCAAATAGCCTTTGATCAAACTTTAATACGTTCTCAAGCAGCATTTCTCGTATTTTGCCTATCTGTGAGTTTTGATTATTCCCAGTGGAACTGTCTTTTGATCAGTTTCCGTGTGCTGCGGTGAAATCAGCATTTACCTGCAACCCTTTGTAGTGTAGACATACCCAGAATGGCCTGGGTAGGATGATGATCCCTTCCCCAAATGGTGCATCTGAGCAGTATCTGGCTAGTGATTAAACACAGGCATGGGTTAGAGTTTGCCCTTCTATGGAGGTTCCCCGGTGCCCCCGTTAGTAGGCTGTGCTGGTGAATATGGAGCTGAGGAAGAGCAGTCGTAAGTGTGTCTGATGACGGAGCCAGGAGGAAAGAGAAGATCCGCACTGCAGACCCAATTGTAAAGCAGCAAGCTCTGCAGTAACTTGACCCCGGCCAGCCTCCGCGTGACTGAGAATCTCTTGCAGAAGTGCTGGTTATGCAGGTTAAGCCTGCTCGGGGCGGAGGCTGGGGGCTGTTTTGATCCACAAATTCTCCACGATTGTCAGTAAGTGAGAAACTTGTTTGGGTCAGTTCCATCCTCTCTTCGGTCACCTTGAAATAGGCACCTCTCCCTCCTCTGCCTCTTGCATCTAGCGGCCACGCAGTTGTGTACATCAAGACAGCATACTTTAAAAAAGAGACCAGCATTACATCACCACCTTGTCATTGAGGGCCTGATCCAGGCAAAGAACTGACTCCCTTTGAATTCAGTGGGAGTTGGCTCAGATCAGAACACACAGGGGCTTGAACCAGGGACCCCCAGAGATTTAAAAAAAAAATGGCTTACTACAGTTTGAGCAAATCCAGGCTCTGCAGAGTGGGCATATGTAACAGACCCTCATTGCACCATGACTTCAGTTACTACAAATACCAACAGAGCACACCATAGGGTTCTTGTGGCTCCATTCATTCAAAGAACACTTCAAAGGCAGCTTTCTTCTCTTGTGTTTGGTTCGTAGATTGCCTCTGGATTTGCAACTGCATACAGTTCTGATGCAGACTGGGTACACAAGACACCACCCATGCTCTCTCCTGGAAACTTTGTTCTTTCTCATTTGCCATCCTTTAGATCCCATCCATATGGCCAGAATTCTTATGTTTTGAGCAAACCTTACACTTTCAATACAGATGGCTTCTATTTTAGAGTAAGAAAAATAATAAAGAAGAGATTAAAGTCTGTGGGAGAGAGCACAGTGTGTTTGCCTCTGCAACAGGCTGCAGCGGAGCTGTGCACAAAATGGTCCCTATCTCCGGCAGACTCTTAGGGCTTGTCTACATGGGGACGCTCAGGAAAGTTAATCCAAATTAACTAAAGGTGTGAATTTAAAGT